ATATCATTCCTTTTAAAGCATGATAAAAACTGATTTTAAGTTTACAAATAGCAAATAGCCAAGTGAAGTGAAGGCATAATATGCGACGTTCGGGGGGACTATTCATTTATGTTCGTATTGCATTAATGAATTTGCTTTAAAGACATCATTGTGACAAAAAGAGTAGTATAAGAGACTTGTGAGGAACTCGTAGGCGCATTGATTATTATTATTATTGTCTGTTAGTGAAATTTTAACATCTTTCGCAATGGTTGGTGCAAGACCAATTATGTGACCAAAAATTATATGATTCAGAAAGCATGCTCAGCCAGGTTGGCTCTGGCTGCGTCTGCAGCTTCTAGCCTCCCATTAATCCGCAATGGGTCTGTGTGGCATAGCATGGTCGATTCTCCTTATTTTATCGATAGGGAAGGTCTGTGATATATTGTAATATTTATTAATAGAATATATCCACGCACGTTAACCGTTTAATAAAACACTTTGAATTGACGTTATGAATCTTTCCGGTTTCATAAGCCACTAGCTTAAATCTTACATTTCAACAATGTAATCTCATCTACACGCAAATTTCTATACGAAATGGAATATTATCTAAAACGCATCAGAATGATTTTAGAATTGAGCTATATTAATATCAATTTATGTAATTTATAAGAATAGCTATATAATTCATTATATATATCACCAACTGTGAAGCGCAGTTAAAGCCTTAGACATTGGAAATTACAATATAATATTTCACCGATAGAACCCACAATAGCCACAATGTATTGATGTTCGAAATTGCACCTTAAAGCAACAACGGTTAGCTTATATTTTCACATAAACAATCTATACAATTCACCGAGCCATTCCGCCAACCTTACACAAGGCACGCGAATGTGTCCACATGGAATGAGAACTGGAGATCTATTTATGAATCGCTAGTATCAAATATCACCTCCGTATACGACTTAAGTCACACTCGATTTCTGAGACGCATGACGCTGTTTCTTCGTAGTAGTCTCAATCTTGCCAGAGCATTATGCGAACTATTGAAAATCATATAGGAAAAACTAAATACCGATAGGTTATTGTTATGAAATCTTGTTATTTCAATTAAAATGACGACTCTCTTAGAGCGTTCGCCTAGCGGCAAGTGTTTAAAAGCACACGTTGCAGTGCGAATTCAAGAGAAATGTCGAACGAAAATTTATAGAAAACGATCGCTCGAGAGACGAACGATTCAAAAATAGGGCCCCTGTACAAACTGCAGTCGCGTCATGTGTTAATATAGAACGGGTGCTATTTCCATCGAAACTCGCAACTTGATGACTAGACTCTTAAAACATAATAAAATGAGCATTTACAAAACAGAAAAAAGAACAGGTGTCTCTAGTGGTGCGCCAGCGCACTCGCAACATCAACAAGTTTTTTTTTATTAAAATTAATTTGTACATTTCTCACCACCTTTTTACATAATTCATTTGGAAATTAACGTATAATATGTATATCTGTGTACGTACATTATAATATTCATGTACGCACCTATACATACGCGAGTAGGGTCCATATTGCGAGTGCACCGTTCGTTAAAAACTAAATAATTCACTCTTAAATACTACTTAAAGTTTAACTTCAGATAGTTCTAGACTTAATGTGAAAATGCATTATTCGCTCTGACCCGGTGTCGAGTATTTGCAGCAAACATCCCTCTCGTTATAAGAAAACAAATGCGTCGAAATTCGACTCAGAATTGACCCCCTCACGGCATACAGCATCGCGACCATTCGTACGTAGATAAGATATGTTTGCGACAAAAAGCTTATTAAAAACATCAATAACAACTCTGCAGTCCTAAGGACAACAATGGGACAAAGGTGACGAGAACTCATGACTATAAACTACAAATTCGTTTAAGTACACTACAACATCATTTCTATTTACAAGGCGTTATGGTTCAATTTTAGTACTACACTTTCATTTTATTAATAAAATAATTTCATAGAAAAATAAGTGCGCAAAATATTAAAATATTGCACATATAATTATTTAAACTATATATAAATTCAAATATATATCGCTATAAAGAAATAAACACTATAGACGCGTGGCCCATGTTCATTGTTGTTGCTTAGGTCTTCAGAAAATATCTATTTACATCGCTCTAAAACCCTTATTCTAGAATAAGAAATGTAAAGGAATCGGGGACATTACGCTAAATAACATTCAGAAGCTAGTGCATTTATCGCGACTTGATTCGACGGGTAAAAATCTAAGGGACCTTTAAGAATAGGTGAAAATTTTTCAGTCAATGCTTGAGCAATCGCTGAATGACAATAGTAAAAATGACAGACGCGTACCTACTGTTTCTTAAAGCAATTTGGGTTTGTTATGAAAACGAGACACAAATGTACTTGCCAAACGTCCTGATTCTAGCATTAAAAGGATCTTATCTTCAATTGGTAGTAATGCAAATCGAATATACCTATACTCCGGCAAACTTCTTGAGCAACGATCATAGTTGGCAAGGAAACCAGCGCAGTAGCAATTTTACATACATAAACGTCTCCTGCGCATGTTTATTTGTCTGTGGTTATGCTCAAGAAGTTTGCCGCTACCTATACTAGATAATAAAAGTTGCAAGTGTTAAGAAACAGTACGCATTAATTTATTATTCGTTCGTCGTACGTGCACAATAGGAACTAATGTAAAAATATTAGTTTTGTTTGCAACCTAACATATACTCTAGCATGCAAATATTAGCGATTTAAATGCAATTTCAATAAAGTGAACACTTTCAAGTTTTTATTTACAAAGAAACGACCGTACGGCCTCACATGTAGAACAGTAATAAAAATCGTCGTCCATTAGATCCGAATTAAATTCCCTAATGATATTCGAGTAAATATTCACAATACTAATTAAAATATAATCACTTGATGCTGTACAAGAATCGATAACGCCGACAAATTGATCGACTATTATTTTTCGTTACCATTTTAAAAAATCTAAATTACCTACTACTTGGTACCTAACCCTCCGTATTTAGAAACATGAGTAAAACTTTTAAAACCACAATGAACACTTGCATTCGCATTATATTACAAGACTTGGCGCGTCCCACTTACACACACCTTAAACTACAGACGGCTACACCGAGTCCTATGTTCACTAGCTCAGACTTGAAAGGATAGAAATTGTCATGAAGTATAGGGAGTCTCGTCCGAGGCCCGGAATCATAGCAGGAATGCGTATTGCGGTCGTTTACCTTGTAGCACACGACACGCCGTAGAGCGCGTTCCCACTGTGTCGTGACGAATATTTTATCATTGGACGACTGCCGGCTCCAGTACCCGTAGCATGAGCACCACAATTTACATTATATCATGTTTTTTTATCGCGTCTAACTGTCAAACTAACTGTAATTTGAGAATAGGGTATTTCCAAATTTTTAAAAACTGCTTAAATTTAAAGATTGGTATAAACGATTTAAATTAGACCAATTAAAGTTGAATTTATTTTTAATGGTTTTGAATTTACCGCATAAACGGTCGGTTCCATAACGGCTACCGTGTGACGTCAAGTTTGCGTATGCTATGTAATCATCTGAAGGTCAAATTTATAGTATAATACTTTGCAAATCTCTTCGCTGCTCATCCTGATTTCTGTACTACAGAGTTTCGAAACATCAAAAATTTTGTGTAAGTATTATACTATAAATTCATCCTGAATTTAAAAAAAGTTAATAATTTGATCTTCAGATGATTACATAGCATACACAAAGTTGACGTCACACAGTAGACGTCATCGAGCCGAGCGTTTTTGCGGTAAATTCAAAACCATTAAAAATAAATTCATCTTTAATTGGTATAATGGAGAAAAAAAATACCTTAATTTATTTATTTTTATTTTTCTGTTAAATCGTTTGTCTCAATCTTTAAATATAAGCAGTTTTCAAAAATTTGGAAAATACCCTATTGAGCGTGATAATAACGCATTTTATATTATATCGCGGTGCTCGTGCTAGGAGGGCAGCTGTTCCCATTATATCGACTGTCAAAATGTTTTATCGTTGAACGACTGTCTTCTTGGTTCGTATTGGATCGTAACAATTGTACGATTCGCCGCAGTTGCCTTTTCGCTGGTACGTCAGTACTCTACGTTCTTGCTCTAATATTTTTATTGAGTGTCGTCATTACGACACTCAATTTGAGGTCACTTTAAGTCATCAGGTTTGACTTATCAATCGGTCGTCACTGCATAATAGTCGTGGACAACATATGTGAACACCTCTTTTTTTTATAGGACACGACACAATAATCTGTCACCACACGATAATGGGAACGCGCCCGTGGTCAGTACACGAACGATCGCGGCTACACCGTGCCCGCTTCGTACTACGACCGACCATAGTCGGCCTAATCTCACACACTATCCGTCCGATAAATCATACTATGGTCTCATACGTTTAGCTTTGAACGACACTTATCAATATTCCAAGATTTTAATTCGCTCATGCCTTTCCAGTTCCAAAAGGTATACATACGCTCATGCCACTATAAGCTTCATTGAGAAAACTTTTTTTCGATCACTACGATTTGACGGCCAATTTCCTTTGCGAAATACTATTTAAGTATTTACTAGTGGCAGCAGGTGTTTTACACAACTCTGAAATTACTTTTTGGAGAACCGTTTGTTCAGTGAATTTTTTAAATAAGCATCTATCAAAGAGTATTACGTTTAAAACATCGAAATCTCTCTGGTGTTTTCCGCGTTGCTTCTGAAGTTCGGACGCTTTTAGAACACAGAAATATCTGTCTTTTTTATGAATGTTGTTTCTCGAGTGGTTTCCGTATCCCGTATAATGTTTAAGGCGGACTCGTTAAGAACGCAAAGATCTCTGTGTATTTTTCAGGAGCGTTGATTCTCGAGTGGTTTCCATATTCCGCAAAGTCTTTTGTTAGTTTCTTATGATCGTACGAGTGTCGTATGAGACCGGATTGACGGATAGCGCGGTACTACAATCTGTCGAGGCGGAGCTCGTGTTCTACGGCCGAATCTGGTAGTAAAGCGCTCGTATCTTCGAGTAAAGTGAGGTCGTCTAGATCTAGGCCGGCACGAAGTTGCGCCTCTTCACCGCCGAATATGCCTGCGTCCAGTTCACCCGAGTAATCTGGAATAGGAGACAGAATTTAGTGATGCGTGTATTTGGTTAAATACTGTCATGAAACAAGTTTTTAGAACAAAAAACGGAGGAAGACAGAATTTAGTGATGTCAAGTAGTTTTGTCAGGAAGATTTTTAATTGTCGTTACGTCCGTTGTGGCACTGTTCAAATTTCCAATTTTTGACCTTTGACGCGTATCAAAACCGATTTCAACTATTCGAATTCGATATTGGTTCGTGCCAAGGGTACTGCACCACAATTCGTGCGATGGAGACACTAGCGGGGAAATTTGTTTTTAATATTCTTCATTACCTTAGATAGTGCACTAATGGTACATCGTTTTTGCTGCAGCGCCGGCACCCGCCTCGCTGCGTGCTGCACTACACTCACCGATGAGGATGATGGCCGGTATGCTGGCGGGGTGGCGGGGGGCTGCAGCGCCGGCACCGGCCTCGCTGCGTGCTGCACTACACTCACCGGTGAGGATGATGGCCGGTATGCTGGCGGGGTGGCGGGGGGCTGCAGCGCCGGCACCCGCCTCGCTGCGTGCTGCACTACACTCACCGGTGAGGATGATGTCCGGTGTGCTGGCGGGGTGGCGGGGGGCTGCAGCGCCGGCACCCGCCTCGCTGCGTGCTGCACTACACTCACCGGTGAGGATGATGGCCGGTGTGCTGGCGGGGTGGCGGGGGGCTGCAGCGCCGGCACCCGCCTCGCTGCGTGCTGCACTACACTCACCGGTGAGGATGATGGCCGGTATGGTGGCGGGATGGCGGGGGTCTGCAGCGCCGGCACGCGCCTCGCTGCGTGCTGCACTACACTCACCGGTGAGGATGATGTCCGGTGTGCTGGCGGGGTGGCGGGGGGCTGCAGCGCCGGCACCCGCCTCGCTGCGTGCTGCACTACACTCACCGGTGAGGATGATGTCCGGTATGCTGGCGGGGTGGCGGGGGGCTGCAGCGCCGGCACCCGCCTCGCTGCTGCGTGCTGCACTACACTCACCGGTGAGGATGATGTCCGGTATGCTGGCGGGGTGGCGGGGGGCTGCAGCGCCGGCACCCGCCTCGCTGCTGCGTGCTGCACTACACTCACCGGTGAGGATGATGTCCGGTATGCTGGCGGGCGTGGCAGGGGTAGGGGGCCCGGCCGGGGAACCCAGCGGCTGCAGCGCCGCGAACCCCCCGCCGCCAGGAACGGGGTCGCGAGCACCTCGCCTAGAGTCCGTTGAACACGTGCCTGACGCCTATACGGGAATATCGACATAATAAATCACATAGAAGCAACGAATTAGAAATAATATGGAAGCATTACTCTCTAATGGGTAGTGCACATTATACCGCGCCGCAGTGACGGACCGGGTCACAGCGCATTGACGGATTTTGGGTATATTGTACTATAGACGTCCATACAATTGTATACCTTGTGTCATTAAAGAAAGGAATTGGAAATGCCGACGCATAACATTCTGTCTCTATCGCATGTTACTGAAGATAGTATGTGCGAGAGGGACAGAATGTCTTACGTCGTCATTTGCGAATCCTTTCTTTAATGGCACGAGTTGTAGCACTCCGATCCGCTACTATAGTACCCTATGTCGGGACTCATGTGTTAATTTTACCTTTGTTAGTCGTTTGGGAGTCTACTTGTTTTTATACGTCAATATAATGGAATAGTTACTACTACTAACTTTACTAAATCAACATTGAACTGACCTGAGAGTACGTATGGGGCGTGTTCGTTGTTTGTGGTGAGTGCGGTGAACTGTGATTGATATACGTCGTGTTATAATTCGACACGGGCTGGTCCATCTGTCGATCGAAACAATCTCAAATTATTCATCACACCACACTATAAAAGCGAATTTGAGAAGCAGTAAAAAAGAACACTGAGATAATACAGAAAAAACCTGAAATAAAAACCAAAATGAAGTACGTCACTAAATCTACGTCGTATCAAAGATTACAATCGAAGCGGATTTTTTACTTAATTGATAAATGTAACAAATTTAAGCAGGCGGGTAAAAAGAATTCACATGACACATGACAAGTATAAAAATGAAATAATAATAATATAATAATGATTGTTCGAAAAATAGGGTAATTGCCAAGGCGATACAACTCTTTATCGTACAGAAGTTTTATTTTATAGCTTTAAAGTAATTATTTTGAAGATTATTCTTTGAAAGCGATCTATGTACTTGTATCATTTCTGCATTTAGCCACCGTATGTAGTTGTGGTTGCCTTAATGCCCGTTAGCGTATTTAGAAACGAACTCTAAATTGTGCACATATGGTACAATTCCGAACTGGACGGGATTACATTTTTGGGCGATTTTTTTTACAATGAAACTCATTAATCGTCACATAGATACTATACTTCTTGAGTTAACACGTGCAAAACAGATACTTTAGTAGACTAATAAACTGCAATATATTCCTAAATTGTTGTAAATTATAAAACATAAATTCTTCTATGAACACGTCTACAATGTTGAGTAATGGCATATTTGCACACGATGTCAAGTACCCTATTATTTAAACAACTATATTCGGGTGCACCTCAAGTTACGGAACAACTTTCAGTCATGCTTATAAACTATCATCAAATTGTGTGTTCTGCTGCTACTTGAACCAACTTCCCATGCTCTGATTATGTGGTAACTACCTACATTTTTATTACATCATCATGTTTTGTGCACGAAGTTTAACTACCTACTACATAACCAATCATCTATACATAGGTAAATTATAATAAAGACGAAATAAGAATTTCAAATTCCGTACAGTAACTTAGTTTAGAACCGAGTTTATTCTAAAAACTTATTTACAAAATATGTGCAAGCAATAAAGGCACTTTATTATAGAAAATAAAAATAAGCATTGATAATAATGAACGTCGCTTAAAATATTTTAATTCGTTGCGATATTACAAGAAAAATATATACATCATAAGATCACATTCTTGAAGGCATAAAGGTGTACTAATCATAACTTTAAAATGATAGTAAAAATTATGCATTATCGCATCGAATTGTAGTAAAAAGAACTTATAAAATAATAAACCTAATTTTCGGGTAACATTTTAGATTTGTGCGTCAGTATTATTTCTGTATATTGAGTGTTTGAATTTGCCATGAAATTTGGCACAAGCTAGAAAATCACAACAAATCTGAACCACAACTGAAAATAATGTAAAAATATAAATAACTTACATTTCAAAGGGTAACAATACCACAACTTACATTGTTTTCAGTAAACATTCTAAGAAATGCCAGTATAATTAAGTAAATTGTTTTAAAATTAAACAGCAAAATTATACATAGTGATTTGGCAACTGGTATTTCTGAAAATGATTTTTATCAGCTCTACCCGTCGAGACTCCTCTTTGATAAAGTATTACTTTCATATACTAAACAGTACATACGAAGTACAAAAATAATATTAAAACATTCATGTTATAGTAATAATTGGTAACCTAAAACGTGATATTATAGAGTAGTAACAACCAAATTCAAAATGTAATTTTCGAGAAAATAAATGAAACACTGAAAAAATTGCCGTAAACAATTTTACATTCATTTTATGTATTTGATTTATAAACCCACTTTCAGAAATGGAAAACTATCACAGGTTTTTGCACGTTTTTTCTTATTCAACCTGTTCAACCACGAAAACTATATTTCTTGATATCCCTTTTATCAAACCAGTTTCACTTTCACACAAGTACCTGCGTAGCTGTTTTCGGTGTCAATAAAGTTAAAGTTACTTTAAATTACTATTTTTCTCATACGTACATTTTAAGATACGAATAGGACTTTGCACTGGTGCTTTATTTCCCATTCAAGTAATATCTGGTGGAAGACGTTAATAAAACCTAGCATTATACGTACGCGTCGAAAGTTTTTTTTCCAGCGATCCCCACGCTATGGTCCCATGAGGTCCATTGAAATTATCCACCCCAAGATAATATCAAGAGGTAGGATCAGATAATATTAATGACTGTACTCAGAGACGTCAATTTTTTTTAATGTAATTTGCAGTGGGTCTGTCGTATTCTAATTTTATCGCAAAGAAAGAGACGGCACAGCACTAACTTTCATCACACTAAAAACCATTTCTGAGTGCGGTCGATATTCCTATCAGGCCGCAAAGGAATCATAAATTGGTTAATGGTGACCCAGAATAAATAAAATAACAAAAAAACAACCAAATGGCTCAAGAGTCACAAGAGTCGTCTCAACGGGCGTGCAACGAGCCTCTAAATGCGCGTAGTGTGAATGTGTGTGTGGTGTCGTACATTTTCCGTGACTTGCACGTGCGCGGTCCAGCCGGACTCGACGAGCGTCTGCACCAGCTGCGCCCAGTCCTTGCCAACATCCACACAGTTACACACGTCGCCGACAACCGTACGACACGGCTGATGTACTAATTGTCTTTTTGATGTGTAACATCTTTCCTCTCACTTTCGTGCAATTTGTGGGAGTGATTACGTGAAGTGGGACGGAAGTATGTAACAGGAAGTTTGGGAAGCCCGCGCTATTTGATTTGATTTTAGAACATAATGTTCAAATGGCTTTTTCCTTTTGTAGTAGGTTTTATTTCTTTTTTTACTAATATAAGGTGAGGTTTTAAATGTTACACATCATACGCGACTACTGCAAGGCTCGCTCGTTTTTTTATGTAATATTGTCGGCCGTTTACGGTAAGATTGTCGGGAAATCGAACGTAATATGTTATTATTTTTTTTAACGTATAATGTTATGTTATTTTTCGCGCTTGGCCTTATTTTAAACATATTTAATGACATGTTTTTTAATTCACTTAAGTAACCTCACCAACAAATATGAAGCATGTTTATTTATGTGGTAGTTCTTAATATGGATAAAGTATGGTGCTAATGCTAGATAATTGCTATAAGTTATTTAGGTTTTATATTTTCGCGGATTATTTGATCTGTATCTTTTTGTTTTACGAGACAATTCGTACATCATGCCATGTCATAAACTAAAGCAATCGCCACACAAAGGACAACAACTTGTGTAGGTATTTTATTTGAATTAAAAAAATTGTAGCTCATTCGTGTTACTTGTATTATGTCATGTGTGTGGCTAGTAGACAGACATATAACTTAATATTAAGGAAATGCGACTGAAGTTTGTTAGAATAATTTTATTTAAATCATAGCTTAATTTGTTTGGACCCTATAAATTCCAGTCACGATTTCTTACATTATCAAAACAATGTTTATACATAAAGAAAAAATCTATAGATTTAGATCTATTGTGCTGATATTTTATGCTGTGCTGCGTTTTCTCAATTCTTGTGCAGTCAGTCAAGTACTTTAATAGTTTGCGAGTGCCAATATTGATCTAAAATTTTATGTTAACTGGAACTTTCCTTAGACAGATGTATTATATTAAAAAGAAAAAGTTAGTTAATAGTACACATACTGACATTGGAAAGCATTTCGTTAGCATAATTTTATTTTCTAATGATTTGTTTATTACTTACAACTCCCTGCTATTCCATTGATGCATTGAAATGTTACAAAATTGTATATGAACGTAAAGTTTATTTTAATATTGTTAACACTACTTCCGAATTCTACTATAACATAATGTTTAATTTTTTCTTTAACTGAAATTGAATCTTCTTATGATGAATGTTTTTATTGTTTGATATGCCAATAATACATAGATACTGATATACATACGACAAAGAGTTCTAGTGTGCGATTACTTGTAAAGTTAAAATATGACGTTATGGTATGGCCTACTATTAGAATAATTTTTAAATAGAAAGATTTATATAATTTATCATAGCTATTATTTTATGCAATTCAATATTTATAATGTAGTACAAAAACTTTTTTTTATGCATAATAGGCAATGCGTTTGACCACAATAATATATATCATAACTATCGTGATATATAATTATTCAAGTCTAGTGAGAACACCATCTCGCTTCGAATATTGCTTGCATTATTCGTCATGACATTGCATTTTGCAATGTACTTAAAAATAGTAATTATATCTCTTGAAAACACAGATTACTTAAAATGTCAATGAAACAAAGGTTATTTCCTATAATCATGGTATGCACTTACCATAGTAATTTGCTCGAACGGTTGTAATAACACTTGGTGAAGATTGTAGTCAGTCTGTGGCGACTCCGCAGGACTGCCTGGACTGTGCACCATCTGTAGAATATACAATATTTTTTATAACACATTTGCTCGTAAAGCGTCTCCTATTGCACCAATTTCAATATCATAATCTATCACATTACACACGCGTGCGGTAATGTAAAGAAAAACGCACGGCTTATTATGTTCCGTTTAAAAACGAACTATACTTTTTACTTTATTAGTAACACCGGCTGATTTTTGTTCCTTTGCCTAAAAAAAGCATTGATGCGCGCGCACCGCTAATCTTTGAAAAACATTCTTTTTCTTTTCGCTGTATTGTTTTTATTTGAAAATATTGTCAAGTATTAACGAATTTATTAATTTGACACCGCCAGAAGTCGAAAAGGCTACGCTAAGCATCTTGCCCGAAAAATCCACGGATAGATACTTACAGTCAAGCGTATCAAAATTTCATCTTATGGAAAACAAACAAAGGTGCAAATTCATTTTCAGAAAGTACGTACATAGGTAGTATTATTTCCTGGCAAATGTGTTATAAAACGTCGTGTCGTGACATACGTGCGGTTTGATAATTACAGGCTCTGCCTTCTGATAGCCCTCACCAACGCAACGGCTCGGACTAACAATATCACCTCGGCTGTAATTCTCAACTTACCGCACTTATATCATAATGTACTATTATTAAATAGTGTCTCTGGTGGATTTTCATATGAACATAGTTCCGTTGAATACACAGTACCTCCTCAGTCTGTTAAAATTCTGCGACCGATTTATACAATCTTACTGGTTGCCTGGTTGGTAAATAGTCTATACATATTAATAAAATTGGAGTGTCTGTTTGTAATATTGAAATAACGGGTTTTTACTACATGCAAATGATTATATATACGGTACATACACCAAAATAACATTTTTATCAATTTTTGTCTGTCTGTCTATTTATTCCGGGTAATCTCTGAAATGGCTGGACCGATTTTGATGGGACTTTTATTGGCAGGTAGCTGATGTAATAAGGAGTAACTTAGGCTACTTTTGGTTGAGAAAAAATATTTTATTTTTGGAAAAAAAACTAAAAGATAACGCGGACGAATTCGCGGGCAGCCGATAGTTCGTAAATAAATTTATTATTGACACTCTAACGGCTTTATCATGAATCCTAGTACACTTTATCCTCTAGCAAAGCTGCATAGCTGAGCATAGTTGAGTTAGCGACCTGTTGGCTATGCGCGGCACGGACTATTAGTATTAAGTTTTCATGGTTTATTTAATGTTTCATTTTACATACCGTTTTGTTTTTTGTTATTTCATGTTGTGAAGGCAAATAAAATGTTTTTCTTTCTATCTATACTCCACCTGAGTCTATCATGCCAGTTATTTTCAAATAATGGATTCTAATAAACTTCAAAGTGCACATGGAGTCAAAAGAGTTTTAAATATTGTTTTAAACTTTCATGATCACTAACATTATAGATATTAATGGGATTGTTACCATGTACCTTGTTTGTTCCCGGCACAAATGCAAGTGAATAGTGAGAATGTGACCAGTGGTAGGGGTATCGAACGCAGTAAAAGACGACGTCAGAGGGTAGACCGATATGTCTGCCAATAACATCTACCCGCAATTACTTCAGTTACTCCGTGATCATGGCGCTTGCAACAGTGCCGAAATATCGGAGACTCATAAAAAAACAAGGTACATGGTAACAATCCCGTCAATATCTATAGTTTTAAATGTTATCTTTTTCGAACACCGTTCTTTCTTTCACATGTTGTGCTCGTAACTGACTACGACAACCACAACCACTAAAAAGTAAACGTTAACAAATAACTCATCACAAAATAAATGCCTCTACCGGTGTTCGAACCCAGAAGCAATGACGCAGGTTACACTGGCTTTGTATATACCGTTCGTTAAATTATGTTCGACCCCCACGTGGGGAGATGCCATCCGCCTGGAATAACTCTAGAGGCACTCGCCAATTCTCGGCTTGGGGTCCCCTTAGGATCTCGCCGTCCCCAAAGCCGGTGACGCTGTAAACAGCATACACACTCAAAAAATATGTATATATTCGACATATTATACTTACAGTTGGTGAAGGTATGTTGATATTTGACGTAGAAGAATATTGTGAGGGCGGACTACAGTGGGACTGGTAACCTGACGTGATCCAACCTTGGTCCAGCGGTGACATGTTCTGCAAAAAGCCGAAATATCACCCTCTACCTATTCATCTCCAGTACAAATATAAACCATACCTTGATGGTTATAAGATCGAATGCTGAATGATCAATTGATGGGGAATTTATTTAAGCAGCACATTACATCACCACCATATCGTGTTAAATTTATTCAGTGAAAGTTTCAAGTTGCACGGCCGGCGATTCTGTTTTTGTCTCAGGGCTGGCAAAAAGCATGCATGCAGTAAAAATACAACGAAGCTTTTTAAAATGCATTAGTGTATTATTAGTATAAATCGTGATGGCACCAAAGCGTATGTTTTGGTTTTAGATATATAGAGACACATTTTTATACGAGTTGTAAGAAATTCCAGTTTTAAATAGATTTCGGAACAAAATTAATAAAACACGCAACTTTATATCGGTATACCGTGACAAATGATAATTAATCGCTATATATTCCAGTTATGAATGACGTTGTCCCAATTCTTTAAGGGCATTATCGCTTAACTTAGCGATAGAATATCAGGATACTGTTTATGGAATTTATACCAATTTCTTTTCTTTATCAGACTGAGTTCAAGTGATTAACTAGACGTTAATCGCTTGAACTCAGTGGCAAATTGCTAATTTGATTTAATCAACAAAATAAAATCATCAAGTCAAGGGATCATAAAAGGCTTTGCGCAGCAAAAGTAATTGAGCATTGCACATGTAAGATGATTCTTTATATGATTTCTCCGTTTATTTTCTGCGTTCTTCACTGCATCGAATGTGCCGCGACCAGACGATTATAGATAAGTAATTTAATCAGACCGCTTAGAATTTTGAACACTACTTACATCTATAATAAATAAAATAGGAAATCCTACATGATAAACAAATGTGTATATATAAGCGTCATAAAAATACGAGATGTACCATTTGAATTATGTAAGAAAAACCTGCCATAATTAAGTCATTATTAGAAAAATATACAAAACTATTTGAGCTCTGAAAAACAAAGACGGTCAAAGACTAAAGTGAAATAGGTGCAACGGCATTATGACCAAAGAGAAACCATAAAAATATGACGTGCCAAACACTGATATCAAAGCAAAATATTGCTTTGAATTGCTTATTATCATGCAGTTATTAGTTAACAATGTAAGCGTTCAAGTTATATTGAGAAGGGACACGGAATTAGGTGGCGCTCGGATCTGAGCGAGATGGCGTCAAAGCATTCAAGCAAACGCCTGTAGAAAAAAGTCATGAATCGAAAAAACAAACTGTAAATGAGGTTAAAAAAGAAAACGAACCTTATTATGATGTAGATAATTATTTGTGTTTGGTACAGATAAGTGATTCTGAAATAAACAAAAAATGATATTGTGTAAAAAAGCAAATAAACACAAACAAAACAACAAAAAAAAACAACAACAACAACAGAAATGTTAACTTTTCGAAAGGTTACGCACAGATTGCTGGAGATACCGAGTTATCTTCACCAAGCTTTGGTTAGATTTATCTACATACTGTTCAACTTCACACCGATAAAGGACAATGGCGAAATATTTGTTGAAGTAAATCTTTAGCGTCTATAGATGTCATTATCAGAAATGTTAATAAAATAATCTCAAAAGATTTATTAAACAATTCAGCAGGGTTGTCTAAGTCTGGAATTAAAAACTTAAAAAAGGGAAACACAATTGACTATTCATTTTTTATTTTTATTGTGGCTTGGCATCATGGCTTTTGAGCCATTTATTTTAACTGATTTTAGTGAGGAAATCAACTTTAAATATGTTGTTCGTATTTTTTGCATCGCTTTACGCTTAAACTGTATTTAATTATCTATCAAAAATATCGGGAGTCATTATTTTTCAATATTATACTGAAACCATAATAAATAATCTCCACAATACAAAAAGGGTATGGCGACAATTCTAACGCAAAAAACTATAACTGTCACTGTCATGCTTGTCATCGAATTGTTGTTGATATTGATAATTGATAACATTATCGTTGCTTGTGCATAAGTGCATGCGTATTGCAACGATTTAAATCGGCGCAGTGTTTTTTTTGTGATTTGTGTTTTTATGTGACTTGGACTGCATTTGGACTCTCGAAATCTTCCCTGCGACTGTTGAGTAGTGCTTGCCTAACACTTCCGAATCTGATATTTCGGACGACTTCTTGCTGTGGATTTTATTTTATTGTATCTACTATCTACGATATTGTGATCAAAGATATGGAATTAAAGATATATAAAAAAGTGTTTCACATTTAATTAATATCCCATCAATACACTATTAGAAATCCTTTTTATACTTTATTATTGTTGTGGTCATTTTCAAATTGTTAAGTACTTCTTACAGCACAGACATTGTATTCGAACTAAATAACCCTGGTTTGTTTAGTATTATTAAGTATTTTGACGCGGTTGGTCAGTAAGTACCTACGCCCACTGATCATACATTATAAAAACCATTTTTTTGGTACTTTTATAGTTCCGTTCACGTATTTTTTATTTTGATATAAAAATACTCTTGTAAATACTTTAATAATTCGTTTTAGTATTACTTGGTATGACATAACCTCCAAAACTTCAAAGTAGAATATCTATAAATCCAGACTTCCTATAATAATAGAAATAAGACGAATCAAATCGAGAATCTAAACTCTATAATTTAAGATGCAATTCATTTAAAGACGCAAAAAAAAAATTCAACAAAAAATTGTATGGGAGTTCGCCATTGTCCTTTTATTTAAAGTTATACTTATATCTTTTATATTATTTAAAAAATCCACAGAAAAATAAATCGAAGGTCGCCTTTAATTTATTTATTTTTTATTTTTATGTGGTAGAAGTGGATAATAAACTCAATTAATATGGAAAAAATACGCCGAATGCATCAAAAAATAATAATATATTTTTGATGAATTTGACGTATTTTTCCTTACATAAATGCATGATTGTAGTTGAGTTGAGGTACAAAATTGGGCAGAGTTTTATGGAGAAAAGAATGGATCCTTTGACACTTGCATGTAAGCTCGTGGTGTTCAATGACTCACAAATAAGTAGGCGCAACAATCCAATTGTTATTAGCGCCGATTATCATCGAGAGCCATTTTAACAAAGGTACTGGCTGCCATATTTGAAATACAATACTATTAAACTCACTGATTGAATTTCTGTATTAATTTGAAATGTGGAATGTCATACTTTTAGTTTCATAAACATGAATCAATATTTGGCTATCATCACCTGTGTCATGGCTATCACAAATACCGACAGATCGTACATTGTATACTATATTAAACTCTAACAAAAGCTAATATGGCTGAAAGTTCAATACCAGATAAGCAGTAGATACAGAAAATTCAAAAGGTAAATAGATAATGTGGACGTGAATTTCATCTTTAGTGCTTTGATATAAGTATGGTTATTTTTAGCATTATCTTAAATATAGTGCTACTTTTACCAATTGTGCTCGTCTAACGTTTAGTATACTATTTTAATATGGTACCCTATTGAATCTACATGTCTGTACAATTTTATTTTTGGAATGGAAATCATAAAATAAAACTATGAGTATGCACAACTATAACGGTTACTTGAAACAGCGCTGTCAAATTCGCACACAATACACTCTTTTCTTTAACTGGCTTTTATTGAGGAAATCATTGTATTTAGTAAATGGAGTATTAACATTCACAGTTCCATGTCATGCCAGGGCCGGCAGGGAGGATAATTAGTGCAACACTATGGTTTACTTCAAATTCTCGAGCTAAACTTATTAACAACGCATTTGGTATTAGTCGAGAATTTGGAGTTAAGACAGTTACATCTCAACAACATAATATTTGGCATTGATTGGGCACATAGATAAAAATAATGGACCAAGCGATATCCTCATGAAATTGTCAACTCTCTAAGGAAGAGAAAGCGATAGCGCAGCCAATACCTATACAATTACTACCTAATAATATTAGCCGCACGATCACTTCGTCTCTCTCACACTTAACTGTCTAGTTTTACTTTACAATTTGATAAGGAACGATCAGTCCATCATTCTCTATATCATTATATCTATAGTTGTATCTAAATAGGTAAAGGCTCTTATTTTTGGTAACAGGCAACAACGCTCAATCTATATCTCCTACAGTTGGGTCTAAATGAACAAAAAGACTCACTTCTACTCTATAAAATCGGATATAACCGTAGAGGTATAAGAATAAAGTGGGGAAGGCGGCTCTAAAAGTATCCTTCTAGTAGAAAGAGAAATTAGATGATGACTATCTCTCTCTCTTGTGACGCATGCGCAGTCGTCTGTCCAATAATTGGTCCAAGCATCACATCGAAATAGTAAGATGCTTACGGTCGCAAATGCGCATGCGGGATTAGAGAGAGAAAGCTAGCGGTCTCTCATCTCCTTTCTATTAGAGGGACACTTCCACTTGTAGTAGAGTCTATATCTCCCCTACTCTATTCTTATACCTCTATGGATACAACACAAAGAGAAGAGTAAACAGAACGCGAGACATACTTGCGTTTCGTACAGCGACGACGTGTGGTCGTACTGGTGGTGTAAGGTAGACGGCAGCGGTACAGTCGCGCCGACGGGTGACCCGGACGCGGGCGAGAGGCCCCCAGTGGCGGGTGAGACGCTGCCTCCGCCCGGCGACACCGCGCCCGGCGACGTCGGACTCTGAGACGGAAACCATTCCTAACTGGCGTTATCAATCGGGCAGTTCAAAGTTTCAAACTGTTTCTTAACTAAATGGGGCAAAGTTTACAACTGTTTCCTAACTGAATCCCTGAGTTTATTCAAGTATCTTTGTGTTCGGGGTGGGGGGGGGGGGGGGGGGGGGTTGGTTCTGATTGCATCGTTGCTCTTGGGTGTGAGCGCTGATTGGTTCGATTGTTTGATATCGCGTCATTTGATTGGCTGTTATCTATTAGGTAGTAGTAGGTGTACTGGGGGCGAACCGGCGACATCGGTTCCTGTACAAACGGTTTATGATACCTCTTTCTGTGTTCTATGCTGGCGACAGTCTGCTATCAAATTTGTACAGAGAGCCGCGTGGCATCTTCTGTTCAGTGACCTAGACACTAGACATTGAATGCAAAAGAAAGTGCTGCTCTATGACGTACATATCAAGGCTGGTTGTAATCGAGCGAGGTCAGATGCGGAACGTAGTGTGGCGAGAGGAAGTGTACGGAGGTGAGGTTAGGCAGAGAGCCTCTCAGAATCTGCTGTTCAGCGACCTAGATACTAGACATTTGAGTGCGAACGAAAGTGTACTCTATGACATACATATCTAGGCTGGTTGTAGTCGAGCGAGGTCCGATGCGGCAGGTGGTGTGGCGGGGGGAAGTGTACGGAGGTGAGGTTGGGCAGAGAGCCGCCCGGTATCTTCTGTTCAGCGACCTAGACATCGATTGCGAGCGAAAGTGTGCTCTATGACGTACATACCTAGGCTGGTTGTAATCGGGCGATGTCCAATGCGGCAGGTGGTGTGGCGGGGGGGGGGGGGGGGGGGGGGGAAGTGTACGGAGATGAGGTTGGGCAGATAGCCGCACGACATCTTCTGTTCAGCGACCTAGACACTAGACATCGAGTTCGAGCGAAAGTGTGCTCTATGACGTACATATCTAGGCTGGTTGTAGTCGGGCGAGGTCCAATGCGGCAGATGGTGTGGCGGGGGGAAGTGTACGGAGGTGAGGTTGGATAGAGAGCCGCACGGCATCTTCTGTTCAGCGACCTAGACACTAGACATTGAGTGCAAACGAAAGTGTGCTCTATGACGTACATATCTAGGCTGGTTGTAGTCGGGCGAGGTACGATGTGGCAGGTGGTGTAGCGGGGGGAAGTATACGGAGGTGATGTTGGATAGAGAGCCGCACGGCATCTTCTGTTCAGCGACCTAGACACTAGACATTGAGTGCAAACGAAAGTGTGCTCTATGACGTACATATCTAGGCTGGTTGTAGTCGGGCGAGGTCCGATGTGGCAGGTGGTGTGGCGGGGGGAAGTGTACGGAGGTGAGGTTGGGCAGAGAGCCGCACGGCATCTTCTGTTCGCCACACGAGAGTTGAGCCCCCAAACCGCCCCCGCCGCCTCCCCCGCCGTCCCCCCCACTCTCGTACACACTAAGGAAGAAGAAAGAAATAATAACTTATTATTCCCTATAATACAATAATAATAAAGAAGAGCGAGTAAAAAATAAAATTAGGGTTGACCAGTAGGCCATTCGCTAACGTTTGTGGCAGGTGGAAGAGATAGCCACGAGCAAGCGCATATTTACTAATCAACTACTGATTTATTATAACGTTACTAAGATACTTGTATTGAAAAGCATCGACGGATATGCAATTTGCTAATTCTGTAAGTGCCAAAAAAGTTTGCAAATAGGCCACCTGGTACATTCCTCAGCATAAGCTAGAGCGACGACAATCGCATTCGCGCTGATGTATGCACATACGTAATGGTCTTTGAAAAAACAAAAGAACCACCAGAATCAGTTCACACTTTATAGATAGACTAATCGTAGAACGTGCAGTCAGGTGCAGTAGTTTTGGACGATACTAAAATAATATCGTCATGAAGAACAGTGGGCAACGTTGAAAATGTTGACTTATTCTATTATGTTCCAAAGAAAGTGACAGCATACAGCTTTAACTTCGATCAATCTTAAAAATAATTCAGTCCAGTGATATATCTATTTTTCTTTGAGTTTCCTTTAAGTTTTATTGCTTGTAATAAATAAAGTCGTAACGGGAATTGGTCATTGTGTCTTCGTTGGCGAAATCGCTAGCAATTTATATAAACTTTTTATAAAATATATGTTTTTTTTTATATTTTCTTTAGTATTTTCCCGCGATAGTACTGAAGTACAGTTAGCAACAGGTAATGTTACCAAAATCTGATAATTTTGCTCTAATTGACTTAGATGTAATTACACCTAACTTTGTTATTCATTTAACGGCTTGCCAAGTCCTATAAAGGACTGTTGATGATTTTTTCGTGTTCCACAAAACATCAACAGAGGATTTTCCTCCTTTCTTCATTGCGTACCATATGTATCTACTGAATGGCTGTCACATTATTTTTCATAAAACGTAGAATACATTAACGTTCTTGTTAATATTTATGCCCGATTTATTAATGCCCCATCAACAAAACATTGGCCTTAGCTTTCTAATATCAGAATCGATAGAGAAAATGTGTCGCATTTTAGTGCAATAAAAGAAATACATAATTATCTATCTATCTAGCTTCAGAAGAAGGATATGATTGTGAAACTATTACAGTAATGAAGTGTTGTGAATGGCATTGAAGTCTCTTTAGTAAACATAATAGGTAATTATTAGTATGATTCGCCTACGGCAAATTGATCATAATTACGTATGGATGTGTCAACTAAAATGTTACCATCATTTATTAACCAGCCATATAGTGTTTCATCTAACCTATTTGTGAGTTATAATCAGTTGTCCTTATGATTTTGTCCAGAGGGAAGACCAATATTGTTTAGACTACAGGAAAGACTAAAGGTCATCCTTCTTTTCGGTTCTTTTCCAGGATATTAGAAGATCGATAGCTAAGTATAAATTTATGAATCAACAGCAAAGTATCACCTTGATTTCGTCATCGTTTCGTTTCTAAGCCTGATAATTTTAATATTTATTTATTTATTTGGTACACAAAACAGATTGCATCGTTACACGGTATTATGGTAAAAAAAGGAGTTCGGTCTAGAGAACAATCCAATAATCAGTGTACACGGCATGCTATGCAGACGTAATATCAAAATAAAAACAATTACAAAAAATTTTTTCACACAAAGACAAAAAGTAAGCTCTAGACATCACATGATGCATTATAGATGGAAATCATGAATATTAAAAACAATAAAGACGTAACATTGTTAAATTAAAGCTGATGCGGGAAAAGTATAGATTTGAACTTGATTTTGAAAGATAATTCGAAATATGTCGAATATTTCCAATATTTTTGAAATATCTGTTTAGAGACACATTTTCTTCGATACCCTTTGGTTGCAACTAATTAGCAAGCAGCTAAGCAAACAGACTTTTGCCTTATTAACCATATTGGTAATGACGTCAAGGCCCACAAACCATCAATGAATTATTCATCATTTGGGCGTGACTGTATTCCAGATTTATTGTAATAATAACGTTTTCACTCGTGTTCACCAAGACATGCTCATAATTTAGCATCCGATGAGGAAAACAATCTAATATAAAATAAAGATCGGAGTTTTGTATTCCACGAATACAATAGCTACGTGCGTGTAGTCAGTAGTACTTTTATTGTGCATACAACAATAAAAGCTTGCCTCACATCAATCAAAGACTAAAATTTCATAACAATACTAAGGAAGTACGAGACTAGACCAGCGGCAGAAAATGTTTAATAACGGGTCACCTCTCGATCTACCAATGACATGATTTTATAATTATTAACGAAATTATGTACTTAATTTTTGAATAATGTTATGAGAATAGGGTACTTTTTGTCCCGGAAAAGTGTTAGGTACCTCAGACTTTCTAAAAACTAAAGTGAAATCGGTCGAAGTCGCGGGCCGTCGCGCAGCTAGTTAGAATATAATGGGAAAATTATTCACGACGAATACCATAACTAAATAACATTAACATAAATAGGTAAATAAAACCAATTTGCAAGAATGTTTCGAGGATGTAAACAATATTAAACTTACTTATTATTATTTGGTATCCTGGGTATTTCACATGACGATCGCGGTCGGTTCGTTGGACTCATGCCTAGCGTCGCTAGCACGTCCAGGTGAATGTCAGCGGCTGCAACAATTTTACACTTTAATGAAATGGTGCATTTGTAGTTTTTTTTAATTGGCCAAGTGTGGAATTGGGTTGCATGTATGTATAGACTAGAACGGCTGCTTGCATAAAAAAAGTTAGTGAATCATTTTGATTAGACTGCTAATGACTTCTCTAACAGTGATCCTTAGCTAATTGAGTTGTTCATTCCACTTTCACTTCCACTTTCATGGATGCAATACTTGAGCTTTTAAAAAGATTACCAAATATCCGCGTGAATTTTTCTAGTAAAATTTTCTTTCGATCTAAACATCTAGCAGTTGAATGGTTAAAAATTATAAGATTACAAAATGTTGTCTTTAAATTTTCGATAGATACCTTTGCCGCACTCGTATTAACTACATATTTCCTAGCGATTCTGGGTACGTGCTAGTAAAGATTAGCTAATAAAAATGTAGGGTGTGGTCTCAACATACTGTTGCGGTGGTTCTGGTGCGGGTGTAGATGTGGGTGCCCGTGCCAGTGTAGCGGGCGGCCGCGCACGATTGATGCAAGGCGGAGTCCCCGTTGGTGTATTGCCTAGGAATAATGGGTTAACATACTCCTGAGGTGGCTACGGTGCGGGTGTAGATGCGGGTGAAGCGGGTGGTGGGGGGAGAGCGGCTGCTCGCCCGCCCAGGACTGATACAGGGCGGAGTCCCAGTTGGTGTATTGACTAGGACTAATGGGTCAACATACTCCTGCGGTGGCTACGGTGCGGGTGTAGATGCGGGTGTAGCGGGTGATGGGGTGAGAGCGGCTGCTCGCCCGCGCACGACTGGTGCAGGGCGGAGTCCCAGTTGGTGTATTGACTAGGAATAATGGGTCAACGTACTCCTGCGGTGGTTCTGGTGCGGGTGTAGATGCGGGTGCCCGTGCGAGTGTAGCGGGTGGTGGGGGGAGAGCGGCTGCTCGCCCGCGCACTACTGATGCAGGGCGGAGTCCCAGTTGGTGTATTGACTAGGAATAATGGGTCAACGTACTCCTGCGGTGGTTCTGGTGCGGGTGTAGATGCGGGTGCCCGTGCGAGTGTAGCGGGTGGTGGGGGGAGAGCGGCTGCTCGCTCGCGCACTACTGATGCAGGGCGGAGTCCCAGTTGATGTATTGACTAGGAATAATGGGTCAACGTACTCCTGCGGCGGTTCTGGTGCGGGTGTAGATGCCGGTGTCCGTACGAGTGTAGCGGGTGGTGGGGGGAGAGCGGCTGCTCGCCCGCGCACTACTGATGCAGGGCGGATTCCCAGTTGGTGTATTGACTAGGAATAATGGATCAACGTACTCCTGCGGTGGTTCTGGTGCGGGTGTAGATGCGGGTGCCCGTGCGAGTGTAGCGGGTGGTGGGGGGAGAGCGGCTGCGGAGTCGCCGGCTGCTCGCCCGCGCACGACTGATGCAGTGCGGAGTCCGAGTTTGTGCGCCGCCAGTTGCTGTCCGCTGGGGGGCTGCAACAAACAATAATTATAAATATTTCTTATTCTGGAACCACACTATCGTGATAACATGGAAATGTACGTTGTCACGGCAAGACTGGTCAAAGAATTCGTCCTATCGCGAATGTATTTCCCGACAGAAATTGTCTATGCGTCGCTGTCGAAAAATTTTGTGAGATTGACGTCAAGCGGTTCTTACATATCGACGAGTCGACTGTTGCGACGTTTGAGGGAGTGTCACACTCTTGCAGAATTACAATATAAGTTTGGCACAACCAAGTACCCTTAGTGATAGCGCTCAGTGACTCACGCCAATTAGTCTATGCCAAAAGAAGTACTGTAAAGCCCACCATTCACTACACGCACCGCGAGCCGAACTCCGAGCCGTACCCATCCGTGGACAAATCCGTCATTGCCCACACACTACACGAGCGCCGAGTTGCAGTCCAGTCCCTTGTGTACTTTGGTGAGCCTCGCGCGTATCGTTCTTCCCTACCCTACCATGCCACCGGTGCTTTCCAAATGCACAAAAGTCGCTTTAGTAGTCGGTGCAATACTTTTAACGGAGAATAAAAAGAAAAAGAGCGTCTGAACAAAGGAATGGCTGAAACAACGAACAAAATAATCTCATTTAAAATTTCTGCAATGCATTCAGTCCTGTACACCACCTGTTTCTCTTTAGTTTTCTCTTTAAACAGCAGGATAAATTCTTGCCAAAACTCTTTATGATCGCCGAACGACATGTTAGTATACTCGTTTACTCGTTCGTGATACAAACAACACAACTGCAGGCCAATTATGCTCGCTAATTGTGATATTGTTTTGATGTCAATTTCACATTACGTAATTTACGCATTATGCTCTCCGAAAAATGCGATATCAAAATGACATCAACTTGACATCAACTTTAAAATGATATCAACATAAATGCGTATTACGTTCAACTTTTTGACATAAAACAGTATCGCATAAACGTCAAAAATGTGATACAGACTTAACAAGTTAGGAGGTGGTTTTTCTGCATCAAATTTCTTTATTTTTTAGTCCAGTATTAACAAGTTAAGAGTGGTTCTGCGTGCACGCACTACAAATGACTGACAAGTTCGCCGACAAATCTGTGTAAGCACACACACGTACGGATTTGTACGGCGCGGCTGGGGTGCGGCGCGGCGCTCGCGTCTCTCGGCGGCGAGCGCCGCGCCGAGCCGCGAGCCGCACTCACCAATACATTCACACGCGGATTTGTCCGCGGACTTGTCGCCAGCGACAAATCCGGCGGATTGGCGCGCCTGTGAATGGTAGGCTTAAGGCTTGTGTTATGGGATGCTTCGTTAACGGACAGAAATACATAAGAATCATAGGTATGAGTATATTCTTATAAAAATATATAAAAACAGCCATGATTAATTCGAACTCGGAATATCTGAGTCACAGATTTATTTCTCACAGATATGGATACAGCCAGATGATTTTTTATTATACAAATAAACAATAAGGGACAGACTACTTTCAACATACATTATGGAGGCCATACACGTTAGGTTTTGCATGATGGTTTTAACCGTGCATTCATAACCGACATGCATAACCGAGTTATATGCACCGAAAACTGTACAGTTTTATCACATACACGTAAGGGCTTGCCTGTCGGTTATGCATGTTCGGCTAAAACCATCATGCAAAACCTAATGTGTATGGCCTCCATTACATTGCGTATGACTAATGGAATGGAAAAATGTGTTAATGAATATAAAATATTCGAATAAAGGGACCGAAGCAATCATTATATACGAGTATACCTATTATAACAATTATAACGATATACAGCACGGCAAACTTCTTGAGCAACTACCATAGACTAGTAGGCCGCGCAGGCGCAGGTAACAATTTTATATACAATAACGTGTAATGCGCAAGTTTATTTGTCTGTGGTTTTGATTAAGAAGCTTGCGGCTACCTATACTTCGTTCATATTACCACGCGGTTCACATCCGCGCGGATTCTGCCATATCTAAACTAACACTAATAATCGAGACATCTGCAGTAATGAGTTTTTGGTACTACGACCCTTGTTGAATAAAGGAAACTACTTTCAAGGCTCGGATCTCAAAATAAACTAACTACCATAATTATTTTCTCAGTAAAAAGATTATGTATTTTCCTTGATCCCACGCTCAAATGTAATTACGGTTGGTCGGCGTAATTTTTACTTATTACTACGATGATTCACAATAAGCTATGACGACGGTATAAAAATTCCGTTTTGTGCATTTAACTTTTCATAAAACCTAATTTAACGGGAGCAATTATGGGGCAAATATAAAAATATATCGGTGTCTGTTTAAATAATTCTTCTGATACGTGTGAGTGTGTACTCTCCTGAACTCCAATAAAAACACCTCAATGTCTCCCACATAGAATTCCAACATGGCATGTTTTTTTTTTTAAGTTTCATAAGTTCTTGTCAAGGCCTAAACGGAAATAAAAGATATTAACATTTTTTTGATATCCCAAAACAAAAACGCTCGCGCATCATTACCGAAAACTACTTTTTCCCTATAGATATTTTAGGTGCCACGAAACTCTAGCCTTATTATAAAGAATAACTGGGAAATCAATTTAAAATATTTATAATAAAGATACACAACATAATCAGTAAATGTTTTATATGGGTCCTAAATTTGTGAAGTGTTTCAATAAAATTGTAAACATTTGAAGTACCAGTACCTTAAGCCAGTTTTAAACGTTTAGATAGCGAATATAATAACAAACTTTATCTCTCAATTAGCTGCCGTAGATTTTAACAAATTTTAAAGAATCTGATGAATATTCAATTGCTCAATTTTGCAAATCTACAAATCTCTCAGCTCTACAAAATTTCCATCACTCACGTACAAAACGTGTGAAACGGATAGTCAATTCAAACTTTATGTTTCTGAGTTATACAACTTGCTTGATAGAATAAATATCATTAACACATTTAATCTTTGTATTTTAAGTGCTTTGTCGAATTTCTAATGGATCCGAACTGGGGTCGTCGGTAGCAGTATTTTATAGGCTGATAAATCACACTTTTCGACACAACCTTAAGGCTTATTTACACCGAGGCAACAACATGCGACATTGTCGCATGCTACATATTGTGGCATGCTACAAATAAAAACATCTTGCGGCATTTGCGAATTGCGGCAGTCTATTTTACGCCGAGGCAACATATTACCAAGATAATTTCAGAGAACTGCGGTATAAAATAATAAATTATTTTATCCTCAATGAAGTCTAAATATTTTTCGTTACACCACATCATGACAGATAATTTACTTCTCACAAAACATAAGCTACAAACTAGGCTACGTTCCAAACCTACGCTCCAGGCGTAACAAATGTCCTTGGCATAAGTTACATATATTTTATGTCAAAATTGCAATCAGAACGAAGGATTGGAACGTAGCCCTGTTGTGTCGTACCAAAAATATCGCACGTAATCCATAGTGTTCGGATACATGCTGCGACAATGTGCCACATGACACAATATGTTGTCATGCGGCACGATTCTTGCCACAATGTGCGACATAATATTGTAACATGCGGCCTTATGGCATGCGGCAATGACGCACAATGTTGCCGGAATAAATCAGCCTTTAGAAAGTTTGTCGAAACACCACTAGTCCACTAATTCTGTTTTGCTTTCACAATCAGTCCAGCATAACCATCCGCAAACATATTTTTTAATAATTTTCCTCATCTTTTAGACCACCGTAAAGAATGGAAACTACTTACTTAATGAATACCACTTCCTGTTTGCATTCAATTCAAATTATGGACAATTCGTCCAGTAGTAGTGATATTCATTAGGAAAATAAAAAAGGCTATAATAACCTTTAATTTTTGTTTTTACCTCGTTTACCTACTCACCACGTCATTCTTTAAGAAAATATATACTATCAGTAATTCAGTGCAGTTTTTACAATTTGCGCATGGTTTTAATGAGTATGAATATTCGTAAAAGAGATATATATTATGAAATACGACTTTGTATTCGGGCAATATTTAATAGGTTGGGGAAAAGTCTTTTCGCATTATAGTATGTATGAACTTGTAATCAAACCAATTTGGTTATACTTATAATTAGTAAAAATGTGTGATTTTCATTTGTTTTTCTTACTGTCAAGATGAGTGAGTGAATGTAATGAAGTTTGATACATTTTAAAATTTTACTACAAAAAAAGGTAAAAATTCAACGCAAGCCGCGAAAAAGCTTTGTGGTGTTTATGAACCTCGTGCAGCGTCTGTAAGAGTAGCACAAAATAAAAAATAAAGGCGTGATAGAGATTGGAGGCACGCAGAACTTTTGAGACTCGCGATTCAGATGCAGGTTTAAGGGAAACCTCGAAACGATGCAGTTTTACGCATATAATAGCGTTAAGCCTGGTCTTTATCTTCGTTAAAGGGGTCTCCCCCTTTAACGTACTTCTTAGCAATCCATGGATTCACCGTGCGGGTCCCGGTTGGGTTAGGTACCATCCGTCCGGATTTGTCCGGACATGTCCGAACTTTTTGGCTTTTGTCCGACTTTTTAATTTGTCCGGATTTTTTTAATTAGGTGGAATATGAGTAAAACTACTTATTAAGTTATATCAAATAAGTCAAATATTATTTTTCAAGTTATCATTAATTTAAAACAAAATATAAATCTACTTTAAAAATCAACAACGAGACCCCCCCGCGATGCGAGCGACTGCTACCTAGGTCTTTAAGGTTATAGAGATTTTGCTGGTATACCTCTCGCTCCTACTTCTACCGCCCATAAATTAACTAGATAACCATTTTTAGTTAGTTCGTAATATTTATTCAATTTTATTTTGTGGTCTTTTGGAATGTTAGTTTCCCACGATACAGCAAGCTTTATTAGTACTATATGTTTGATGTGCCTAGAAAAGAAGAATATATCCAGCCTGGATAACGAGACATCAGGTGCAATACCTAGGATTAAGAGCATGCTTTTCGAGTTGACAGTGGAGGCGTCTTTTATAAAGTAAATTTGATTTTTTGTGGTTAATCCTTTTGGGCTCTAGCCACTGCAAGACTTGCTGCTTCACATGTCTTCAAGTACTTCATCATGGCGACGTGAGTTATGACCCCTATCCAGGACACCTTGCAACCTACCAATATGTGCCTAGCTGTACCTATTGCTTGACCTCAAGTATAGCACGATTTTTCAGAGGCTTTCCCCATATTACTAGGTTACTCTGGTCTGGGAGGGTCATTTGGAAGGCATTGAGATAGAATTTTAATAGAGCAGGAGACTAATCATGTAATAAAAATGCGCCACTTCAGAGCTGATGGAAAGGGTTACTCAAGGGATACCGTTTGTCCGAATTTATTTGGACATGTTCAGACTTCTATATGTTTCTTGGTTTTCGTATTATTTCAACTTTTTTTTTACTTAGTATTTGTAAAATGAAAAGTAAATAAGAAATATCAAATAAATTTACCTTTACATATCTGCTTAATCAAATATCTAAATTTTTGACAGCAGTTTTGTTTTGTGAGTTTTGTGAGTAACAATATATTAAATTACCTTAAATAGACAGTGCTGCCATAAGGACTGGTGTCATGTTTGCGGTCCGCGGGCCGCCGCATTGGGCCCACTGAGGACGACGCCCGCCCGCGCTGCCCCGGCGATCGCGACGGAGAAGTTCCCCCGCTTCTGCCTCCACCCAACCCATATTGTGTTGCAAGCGTCGCCTCCTCTGGCTACAGACAAACCACAAAAAAAATCAAAATAAAGAAACAAAACCTTCACAACAAATGGTTAATTTTTTAACAAACAAGTTTATAAATCACGATATTCATCACCAACCGTTCACCAGTGCAGTAACTCTACATAAACAATATAACATCTTCAAATCATATGTTCTCTATACACTGAGGCAAGTGGGTGACCTTGAGTAAATAACACATAAATTATATTTTTTTTCCATAGAGACTAACATTTCAAATAGAAAAATTGGTTTGCTAGTAGCAAATCACTGAGTAGTTTATAAATACAACTCTGATAATATTTAAAGAAATATATTCATTAAGCCAGTTCTTAGAGCAACATATCAGGAAATCATAAATACCAGTTTTGTACAGTATTATAAAAATAATGATTACAAGTTTTAATATGACAAATAAGTGAAAGTTAATTTGATTGCCCTTGAACCCTTGAAAAGGGATTGTTCTTTTTTAAAAGGGCATCATAAAATTTTGTATACTGTACTAAGAAGTGCAATATTTTTATAAGAAATTTCATTAGCATTGATATATTTCTTTCTACCGAAAAATATGTACTGCTATAAAGCCCTAAAACAGACTAAGAGAATCATAATGTATAATTACTAGGGACATAGAAACAGATTACACATCCTTTATATTCTTTACTAATGATATGATAAAGCTCTAGAAATCAATGGGAATTAGTTATGTGCAAATAATAAATAAACTTTCTTGGAGAAATTATGAGAGACCATTACATAACGTAATCACAATTTTAAGATGCAAGGAGCACTATTTTTGTTTATTTCTAATTAAGAAGCTTACAAAATACAGGGCCAGCTCATGCTTTCAACTTAAACATTCATTAATTTAGGTGTAAACAATTTGTGGACATAACAAATATAAAATACATTGAATTAACACATCAATAAAATTCACACCAATTTTTCATATAAGACAATAAATAACACTCTCTGACTTAGAACATAAGTGGATTTCAGTTGTGAAAACAGCAGGTGTGGCAGAAAAATATACCACACCAACCACTTTGCCAGACAGAATCTTAATTCATACTTTTACAGTAAGAACTTATAGGTATATCAATTTAATGTTTTCTACTTAAAACACATTTGAATAGAATAAAACTATTATTGTCAAATGTGATAAGTAGGTATTTAATTTTTATTGAATGTTTTTGAGAGAGAATTGACAAAAAAAATCCCTGAAATATAATTTAATAACTAAAGAATATGTTTTTCTTACTATTTATTATTTTATAAATTTGTCTGAGCCAAATTAACACAAGACAAAACATAAAAAAAAATGTATCAAGGGCTTAATTGCATTTGGTTTTCTTTACTTTACTTAATAAAACCACATTTATTTAATTAGCATGTAACTTAACTTTCAACTTTACACATAGAACTGAGGACAAAACAACAAAATTTCATTCAGGAAACAATAATAAAAATTCAATGACAAAAAAAAGTTATTAGCCTCACTATATTAACTTGCAGCCATCTACACCTGCACCGCTACCATAAAATAAAAGTAGCTCTACAAGAAATAAAGAGGTTAAGAAATGGATTGGATCCAAAGGAGAGGAACCTTTGTATCTACTGGCTCCACACTCTCGGGTTGCGGTGCAGCCACATTTGGCAAGGAGCCACTGCGAAATGTGCCCAAGCCTTGTTGAGTAGGTCGTAATGTGGAATCAATCACTTCAACAGGTTTAGGAGGCACTTTTGCTCTTGCTTGTCTGGTACTTGAATTAACCTGTAATGTTGCTTGCTAACTACACTGACAAAATACTAAGAAATTAGATAGAAAAACACTGTTATTCTACTACTAACACTATTACCTACTCATTTTCAGTGAATCAAACAATTTAGATTGTCACTTTCCTTAAACACAAGTACAAAATTCACGTATCTTAGGATTACTATTAAAAATTATTAAATAACACTGAAATCACTGCAATGTTTTGAAGGTGGAAGAAGGTGGTGTTTGTATGTTTATTTTCATTGTTATTTAGTAATAATTATAATGAAATGCTATTGATTATGTTATTAAGTTTTAAGTAAATAAATTACAATGATTTTTCAGAGTGAACCGAATATAAAACTGATACAACAAAGACTTACTATTAACTATGACACTAGACAGAAAAATTGTTGTCCAAGATGTGCGTTGTTTGTATTTAGACTGGATTATCTACTATTCATATCAATAAGGCGCAATAGGCTTATTGTAACGATTATTGTTTACGTCGGCTCGCACATTTGACGGCCAGGAAGCGATTGCCTGAGTAAATATAGGCGACATACCTTATTAGTTGCGTCGGAAACTTCTCGCATTATTTTCTCAAAAGCGGCTGTTTCTTCAGCCTGTTTTTGATTGTGGAGGGCTATTTTTTCACTAAATTTCCTTGGGTTCGCCATGATGGCCAGTAAACATTTATTTTCTCGTTTTACATCACAATTTTCAGCGCTTAGAATCTATCAAACCTCGCTTGCCTATCAAGCACGACCACAGATTACTAAGAGTACAGCAACGCGATGTTGTCATAGAAAAAATCATTCATAAATACTATTAAGAACTTATCATTAAATAAGTATTCCTCGTTAATAACACTCCATTAGCTGTTTCTTAGTTAATTATTAATTACTGTGAGCCTAAAAATCTAATACAAAGAGGTACTTTAAAAGAATTTTTTTGTTAGTTCTATTCTTTTCTATTGAGAAAGGCAAAGGCATAGCCATGCAGCCATTGTCTTATTTTTGTATTAATCTTTTTTTTTACATTAGAATGTGGGTGTGACGCATTCTAATGCCTCTTGGAGTATTTGGCACGAAATATATCGAGTTGGCTTTTTCAATAAGCTTCTGTGAGGTAGTCAATACTACAATAAAATTCTCACGTCCACTTGACCGGAATAGCGTATATTTTAAAGATTCCACTAATTCTTCAGTTGCGCAGACGGTTGTAACACAAAATCACACCAATTTTATTTCACAGTATCCACTATGAACAAATTTAAGAATAATTAAAATAAGATGCCAACCGCACTCGATGAAATCCCGCCAAAAACTCAGAAGAAATAAATAAATAAACCAATTACAATTTTTCACACAAACAGATTATAACAAAAATTACTCCAAACATGATGAAGACAAAGTAATCTTAGTCCATAAAGCCGCAAAGAAAAATAAATAACCTTCATTTATGAGTAACTAGCTGTGCCGCGCGGTGTTACCTGCGGTTTATTTGGAATATTTTCCCGCAGTAAGACGTAGCCTATGTGTTAATCCAGAGTATCAGCTAACTCCGTACCAAATTTTATTAAAATCGCTCCAGCGACGTGAAGAAGTAACAAACATACACACTCACAAATTTCGCCTTTATAATATTAGTGGGATGTGTATTCAAGGTGTAATGTAATCTGATTCTAATTGACTCAATTATTTTGTGACAAAATTGCTATTGGTGATTAAATTTTTTAACAAAATGTGAATGTGTGAAACATACCTTTTTTATTTAGAAAAGATCAGCGAATATTTATATACCTATACAGTATAAAATAAATGAGTCAATCAGAATACTTTACACCTTGAACACTTATTCATTTCTCATCATAGATGAACGATGTTTTATTTTTCTTTGCGGCTTAGATTATTAGCATTTAAAATAAAACATTATAATTACGTTAAGTAGGTAATTATTGTTGTTTATATTTGTTTTTTTTTTATTAAGTAGATAATTATGATTTTGTCTGAAACACACTACAATCCCCGTTCAGGCTATGTATTTATATTTTTTAACCTTTTGTTTTTCTTAGATCTAAGTGCCTGTCCACATCTCCACGTCACAACGTGGTCACAACGTTGTTAACGTGAAATGCTACGGTGACGACGCGGCACGGTGCTTTGACATAACGTGCAAGCTTGTTAATTAATTTTCTACGTTGTGTGGTTCCACGTTGATAAAGTTGGAGCATGGAGGTGTAGACAGGCACTTATGGCAAGTTTATTTGACTGTAGTTAAAATAGTAGAAAAAAAAATTACCATTGTTACTGTGTATTTGACGTGACAATAACTGTAGTCAAAGGAAATGTCCCACGCTCATACATTGATTGAACTATAAATAAAAATTATGCGTCTTGCTAAACACAAGTGTTGATTCTGGCATGATTCTCTAAATTTAGAATTAAATTTAACATCAGTCCTTCCTTTTCATTCTGACAAGGATAATCTGTTGTCAAATTTAATTTTAGATTAAAGAATCATGTCAGAATTAACACCTTAACAGCTTTGCTTTGTTGGTATTTAATTTTACATTAAAAATAAATATCAATTGGTATCGATTCTGTGATGATTCTCTAAACTTTAAACTAAATTTTGTGTCTCTCCTTTTCATTCTGTACAGAGAATGGCAAGGATTTGACACTACTGTCAAATTTAAATTTTAGAGAATTATGTCAGAATCGACACCACTGGCGATGTTTAAAGAAGAAGCGGATAGCAAATTTTATTATAATAAAACCATTTATTTAGCATGATATTTGAATTTTATGGACAAATCGGCCTGCGTTCGTGGAAGTTAAGAAATTTTCACAATGGTTGATCGTTGAATGGGTGACATAAACTTATTAATTCAAGCTCTTCCGTGCTTCGGAAGGGACGTTAAGTCGTTGGTCCTGCATCTGCAGTTGTTAGCACCCGCGTAGTAGGTCACGTATGTCCTATATCCCTATTCCATTCTCCATACATTTTTATGCTGGTCATGAATGAATACTTCAGAAAACATTTTGATGTTTATAACAGATGATTTTGTAACATAATTTTTTTGGTAAGTATAGAACTTAATCTTAACTCTCCCTAATCCATCCATAGGGAAGGCCTGTGCCCCAGCAGTGGGGGCATTAATAGGCTGATGATGATGATAAAACTTAAGTAGACAGAATGTCCTTCAACCTGAATAACGTTAATTATAAGGTTAATTAATTTTTAAGAGCTCTACGCATAAGCACTATCTCGCCATCCCGCTGGACCCAGCGTACGACTTGCAAGACAGTGTTATACAAGTAAAAGAGATAGAATTCTACTGGTATCAATTCTGACATGATAATCTAAATCTAAACACAAATTTGACAGCGTGTATCCTTGTCTTTCTCTATACTGAATGAAAAGGAGAGACTAATGTCTTTAGTTTTAAGTTTAGGAAATTATACCAGAATCGGGAACACTGTATCTCCATCTTTTTTACAAGATGGATAGTGCGTAGAAGACTATGATCACCCATCTGTAGGCCTATTCGCTACTTTGAGCTTAATAGATTCTGAATAAATGTTATTATGTATATACATTTAATTCGTAAAAAGGCTGTATGAGCTATGTTTCTTTTGCCGTCAAAGAAAAGGAAAAATAAATAAGAACTGTCAATGTCAGCTGCCATAATCCTTAACTGACATCAAAATGAAGAAAATGAAGACTATGGCTGCATGGCTCTGCCTTTGCCTTTCCCAAGATGGGAAAAAAGATATAAAAAAAAAAAAAATTAACTGACATCATGTCACTCGTCATCAGTGTTGCCAACTGTACGGTAATACCCATAAAATAATAATTTACTGAGATGCAGTTTCCCTTAGTGTAAACGATCAATAATCGCTTCAATCATGTAGACATGATTGAAGCTATGATTAGAGGTCGAGTAATGCGGCTCATTCTAAAATGAGCCTTATGCAGTGCGTCGTAAGGGAGAAAGTGCAACGACATCTGCACTTGTTTACAAGTTATGCGCGTTACCTGCGTAGGTATAAGTAGGTACTTTGTACTCACGGATGCTAGCTAATTCTCAATTTAACAGGTACTTTCTAGAATGCGTCGATCGGCGTATACAGGGCGTCCCACGGCTACCTGTGTGGTACCTGTGAGGTAGCCGTGTTATTATATTTATAAATTTCAGCCAATCGCATTGTAATTGTGAGTTCAAAATGAAAACATACGTACTACAGTTTGTATCACTTTATTATTTTTATTACGTAATAAGACATTCCTTTCATTTAAAATGCTATGTTATTTAGAAAAAATAATCCTTATAATTAACCCTTCCTATGGTTATCATAAAATATGTCGTGTTTTTTTTACGAAATTTCACTAGTTTGATTCCCAGTTGTAGCAGGTGATTTTAAAAAATCTGTGAATGCAGTTCTCATTTTTGTTAAAAATAAAATGATGTCTTCTTTCAACAAGATATCCTATGTTCAATATTTAATATACTTTCCCTCCGTGTGAGGTAGTCGTGGGACGCCTGTATAAGCGCGATTGGTGCCGCGCAGAAACAGTTGAGTTTCTATAGCGATTTCGAAGTGAATCCAAAGGAGATCAAAGTTCAACAAAAGTGTTCAAGTGCGATAAGACTTTTATAGTGAAATACAGTGTTTATTGAGTGTGTTGTGATTAACATTGTGTGTTAACTATGTGGTGAACAAAGTACTGTCAAGCGTGAACTGGCATATAATTTCGAACCCCGACACGTAACAATAGAATATTTTCCGATATAAACAGAATAAAAACTAGTGACAGGAATCGATTTCACATTACAAATCTAGCCTCAATTATGATTTATGCCACACGCATAATTGGTTTGTGTTAATTTTTATCCCTGGCGGTAATATGATTTAATTAAATAAACCCAAAAATAATATACTTATTAGTAATGTACAAATTGTTTTGTTTGTGCCTTTTTTAAAGCTATTTTATAGTATTGTTATTGGACTATTATTTATTAAATAACAGCAGTTACAACCTATTGGAATTTGTAGTTCTATACAACAGAGAAGGTAGATCTTTTGGTAGATCGCGGTTTCCGTTCAGTAGATTTTTACAAGGTTTGGGTTGCTCTGTAGATCGGCCAAAAACTCCTAAAAAATCTGGTCACACTGCCACTGTCTGGCTGGCATTCGCTCGGTGGTCACCACAGTCACCCACCAGTCATCTGTGGGTGGGTGGTCCAACTGTACATTCCTTTGTAAATTAATAAAATAGACGCACATTCAATATATTTTTTTCTAAAATTAACGAAGTTCCTGGCTGTAAAGAGAGTACTATTCTACTCTGACTTTTGCCCCTAGTTTACTTACTAAATATTGGGAAATTTTTACTTCTGTAGTCCTGATTTGAATGAAAACATCGTTGTTGTTATTTGTGCCTGGTGTGCTTGTTTGTGACTGTTTTAATGTTGTCTTTAGACATAATCTTAGTAATCTGTGGTTGTACTGTCCTTACCACGTACTTACTACTGCTGCTCGTCTCCCCCTCCATCAACTTTGGTTGGCGCCGATTGTGGTTTTGCAGCCACAGTCTGTCTCTGTCATCACATGCTCAATGGCATTTGTTGTTGTCATGTCATTCATTCACAAAAAAATACTCGTTTGAGATTTGTATTTGAAATAGTAACTTCTAAATTAAAAAACTAAGGATATCTGTGGCCGTTTCTATATACCATAAGTTAAAATATTTTTAAAAAGACAATGGAAGAGAAATACATATTAACATTGGATATTGGTACTACCACAATACGCTCATTTATTTTCAATTCTAGAGCTGAATCTGTTGGAAAAGCTGTTGATCAGGTTAGTGTCATTGATTGGTTAAATAAAAAAAAATGTATACCTATTAAGGGAGTGTGTAATTTGGATTTCATTGTAAATTCTATGCTATTTTTTAAGGTGGTACTACACTATCCTCAGCCTGGTTGTGTAGAAATAGACCCAGATGAATTATGGCATACAATTGTAAATGTAGTCAAGAACTCCCTTCAAAGTAAGTAACACTAATTTAATATGTAGTTTTTTCAAAATTAATTTGCATTAAGTTTAATTCTTTTTAAGTAGGTAATTATGTGGAAGCTTTTGAAAATGAAAATATATGATTTCATTTATCATTAATAAAAAATAGTTTCAATTTAAACAACAATTTGGCAATGTTGCACAGAACAATAGTTGTATATAAATAAATTCAAACCTTAAAAATAGAATAGCTACTAACATTGTTATACTTGCCAGATGCCAGTTTATCAGCAGGCCAAATGTCAGCCATGGGTATATCAACTCAAAGGAGCACTTTTATAACATGGTCTCGGAAAACAGGGAAACCATTTCATAGGTTTATTACTTGGAAAGATATGAGAGCTGATAAATTAGTAAAGCAATGGAATGATTCTTATACATGGAAGGCAAGTTAATATTAAGTTTCATATAGACAAAAAGTTAACTAACTCAGTTTAAATGATTATGTTTGTAATATATATATTTATTTTAGTTGATCAAAGCTGGTGCATTTGCCCTTTATCTAATAACGAGAAGTAAAAGATTTAGAGCTGGTAGTGCTTTAAAATTCATGAATACACAGGTAAGTGATATTTATGAAATTTAAAATTTTCTGAAATTCATTGTATCATTAAGGCCCACTTGCAGTAAATTTTCTAAATCGCAATTCAATTAAAAGTAGAAATATCCCATAGAAAAATGTTAATGTCAATTTGACATCATTGTATGGGCTAAATTAAGTTGAATCTTAATTTATTTAATTGAGATTAAGCAAAATTGCTGCAAGTGGACCTAAGTCTAATATATTAAAGAAGTTGTACACTTTGCTTTAAAAAAAATCACACATCTGCAAAAATTACTCTCAAGAGCATACTACCAGTAACACACGCATGAACCCCCACCATTAATGATATCTTTTGAAGCTCAATAATTAAATTTCAGTGAATATTAATTTTATTTCATTAAAAGAAAATCTTTTCTTTTCTTTTAATGCTAAAAAAAAAATATTAATTTTTATTTCATTAAATTTATGCTTTACTTTTAAAAGTTACAGCCGTAAATATATTTTGTTTTACTTTTAAAAGGTTTGTGAATGTAATTGGATTTATTTGGTATCCAACTGTATACTTTAATCCTCCTGATTTTAATTATCTATTTGTGTGAAGTTCAGCTGTAAAATGCAAAAAGATAAAACAAAACAAATATGAGTAACAAATAAGAAAATGTATGTTTTAATTTCCTTTTAAGTTGCAAAATCATTGGACCAATTAATACAGGTTATACTAGTATAACAGTTGTGTTAATTATTTTATTAAACTGAATTTATTGTTGCAACACACAAACATCAATTTTCTTATGTTAATCAAATACATGTTTTGTTATGTTAATGTTTGAAGAGTAGAATGAATTGTTCACAGTTCAATAAATATACTTTAAAGCAGAGGATCCCAAACTTATTTTCATCATCAATAATTTTGTAGCTTAAGTACACCAAAATTATTCACTTTAACACATTTAAAAAAAACCGGACAAGCGTGAGGGTTCCGTAAAAAATTGTAGGTACGCAACAGGCCAGACAAGCCCACTGACGGACGGACAAACATTTATAGCGAAAGTGTGTGTTTCAACTTGACTTCGGAACCCTAATAAAAGAAAGAATGGTTAGATTGCTACCTATACTTAGTCAGCTATAATCCAAGTACAAACAACTAGCGAGAAAGTATTCTTAAAAAAATATATTAGGCGAAACTACTATATTTGGCTTAAAGCAGAAGTAAGACTTCGAAAATACTATATTTGATAGAAAAAAAGTTGGTAACCCTACTGACTGATGCTACTAGTACTAATAAACTTTAAAAGCTTTTTTAACAAAAATAGTTTTTTGATATCCATACAATATGTGGTTATAGTACTTACGGCTGTAACAATGTATGCACTATTGGCAAATATATAATGAAAATTATTGTTTTAGACCACTCTACGATTACAATGGGCTGTAAACAATATTACAGAGTTGAAGACTGCCATTGAGAATGACGATGCAATGTTTGGCACCTTGGATTGTTGGTTGCTATACAAACTGACAGGTATTTAGTATATTATGATATTTTTTATATAATATGAATTATATAAGATACTTCAATGAAGTAAAATACCATCCCGATTTCCGAATTTTGTGGTACAGTCAGCTTCGTAAAAATCGAAGTTAAGACTGATCAAAATTATTGAAGATACGTATATTTCATTTTATATGCGTTGTGATATAATCTTATTGTTGTAACCGGCCAGAGTGGTCAATAATATCGAAACAATATAATTCATAATTATGTTCTGTGTTAAGATAATCAATAATATGTATATTCGCGGATAACTGTTCAATGGTATCTACAAATATCTTGATAGTAAAGAAATTATGTTTTCGTTTCGTGCATGACGTGATTGAGGTATCTTTTGTTTGTGCCTAAAGGCAGGATTCCATTAGGCAACTATAATTAAATTATGTTTTTTTAATTACGTATTCCTGATGCAAATTGCATGTAACTTGAACAAACCTACAAGCTACAAGTTGCGTGTTGTACATTTTTATTCAAGTGACGTGCAATTCTAAGCGCAATAGTTTTTGGCACGTTCCACTTTAGTGAGTTAGTTTCACGTTCAAACGTTAAACTACTCAATTGGGAACATCTCCACTTATATGCATAGTAAAACCTGCATGCAATTTACACACTGACGAAAACATATTTTCAACGCTAGCAACTTGTATATGTAACGTCATACTTGTATGCAAAACTTGCGTAATGGGATCGTGCATTATGTATTTTGAAACAATTAGATTAAAGTTCATAGCACAAAATGTCAACTTGGAAGCGGATCGATTCCGACTCACCTTTCGGCTTGCCGTCAAAAAGGAGGCGTCCACCTATATTTGAGACTATTGGAGAATGCGCATGAGCAGGTCCAATACGTCGACTCGGCTACGGCTAGCCGACGTCGCGCATACGGATAGCCAACCGCTGGTTGCCGGTTAAGCGGCACTAATCTATATCACTAGCGGCGGCTTGGACGAAGAGACGTAACCTAGGGAACGGAGAGACATAAACGCGGAAACTGCAAGTTGACCACGCACCGTGGCTCGGGAGCTTGTCCCGAGTCGAGCCGATTACATTACGATTCCGATTAGAGTGCGATGCAGTATGGAGTTTATACAAAGAATACTGATCGGCTCGAGTTGCAACTGTGACGATCCCTTTCCAAGTTTATTTTTATTTAAATTGCATAATCCATGTAAGCGAAGATATTTTGATGTACGAGATATAGTGAGTACTCTGGACGACGTGGACATGTTAAAGATCATTGTAATAGTGTATATGTGTTTGGGGACTTTTGACCTGAAGAAATATAAGACTGGTTGGTTGTGTACAATATTAAGATGACTTTAAATGCAAAGATATAATTGAACCTTAGCTAAGCTCTTAACATATATTTGACCATCCCATATTTTTATGAAGCTGTCTGTACCACCAATAACCACGGTGGATTTTTCAATAATAGTCTTTGACAAATTTTTGAAAACGTTCAAACGTTATTTACTAGCGTGGCTCCATAAAAAGTGGATATTTATAATTCTGATGCGTAGGTATATCCGTAAAAAAAAAAGGGTTTCAAATATGCCGTGGAAACGTTTCTCTATTAAATATGGCGTGTTTACAGGCAGGTGACGGCACATTGTTCTCATTAAAACATCAAACAGTACAAAGTAATCAATTCGACCGAATGCTTACAAGCAGGTGACGTCATTTTAGGCCAATCCTAAGCGTTTTTGGTCACGTGACAATAGATCAAAAAATAAGTTTCTATTTTATGATTTTTGGTATTATTATCAACATCTTTATTTGAAAAAATTGTGAAATCACTCTTTTAATTCATGTTAAATACTCATGTTTATTTTTCATATTATCAAATAGCCTATTACGAAGAGAACAAGAACAACAGAAGCTGTTTCTAATTTATGTACTGTAATACATATGGCTATTGATTTTTATGAGTATTACTTGCCATAAATATTGTTACAATGAAATCATTATTGTTTTGCCATAACACGAATGATACACTTAGAAATCAGAAATCAATATATTCAAATTGGATGTATAGTACAACTCTTTTGAATCGTCCAAAAATTTTTTTCCCTACCACTCGATATGGACATATTTTTTACCTGCGGAGAAAAACGAGCGAAAAAAACTCCACAATTATTACTGCGGTGTGTATAAAAAGCATTACTTTTAGAATACATAGAAATTTGAAACTCATTTTAATGACCTCTGTTAGTTTTAGCCCATAAATCGTCTAAAACGCGCACTTTTTCAATGGGAAAAATTTTTAGTTACATCATTATAATAAAAAATATTTTTGAAAATTTTAAAGTTACAACCTCTTTTCTCATGAACGCGTAGAGGTATTAAATTGAGTTTCTACGAAACCCTCGGTGCGCGAGTCCGACTCGCACTTGACCGGTTTTTTACGTATTCTACAGCACGGAATAATAATGTGTACAATTTAATATTATCAGGTAACAAACTTCATCTTACCGACGTCTCTTCCGCGTCTGCGACTGGTTTCTACGACCCGTTCACGATGCAATGGGCAGGTTGGGCTATGACCCTGTTCCATATACCGGCTAACGCTTTACCAACCGTTGTGGACACAGCTGGCGACCACTTCTCTAGTACAGACGCGGCGATATGGGGACACGCTATACCCATTCAGAGTTCAGTGAGTATTCTTGCTTATGTTTCTCTGTTCTAAAAAGTAAATAAGTTGAAATCTAAAATAGAGCATTCAAAGAAAGATTGGGTTTCTTTCTTAATAATGTAATCGTGGACCGGCGATGCCGAAGTTAAAGGTGGCCCAAATATATCATGTATATCAATGGTGGCCCGTCAACCAGTCGATCGCGATCGACCAAGCGATCGTGACTATTAGTTCAGTCGATCTTGGCAAGGCAAAAAATATAAATAAGTAGAACAGACTGCGCATCATCGTAATCACCAACTGCTGCACGCATCTTCTTTGTCCTCTCTTCTATAATATCTATAAAATGACCACAAAATTTACAGGTACATTTTAAATAGACTACATGTAATAATGAATTTGCGCTGGGACATATTTCTAAAAGCAAAGTCATCCTCAGGTCTAGATTTCAGGGCATTGGTTTCCAACGAGAAATATCCAAATTTCAAAAGATGTGTTGAACAACTGCGTTCCACATATTTTGCTGTTTCACTTGAGATTTCAAGAAGTATGTAATAGGCTAGTTGCCTAAATTTTAAAAAGTGGTTAATCATATACGTTGATGTTTATTTTACCCCAAAAAATATTATTTTAAATAAACTACTACATTAACAATATGTATTTTGACTTTTAACAAAAATATTTAATTTTCCCTCTAAAACGCTCATGGCTGTCATGGCGTCTTGAATGACGTCACGCCGTGCAAAACAAACAGTATGCTGTACGTTGAATAATATAATTATTTCATTAAAAATGAATCCATCGTATTTCAAGGACTGTATAGTGCCCCAGTGTAAAAGTACAAGCATAAAACGCCAGACAAATTATTTATATACCTTTTAAACAACTTACAAAAGCAGTAAAAATGGCTAGAACTTGCAAGGAGGGATGGTATTCATTGTTTATCAACAAATAAAATAATGTATTTTTGTGAAGATCTTTTTGATGTAAGTATTTAGCATAGCATAATCTAGGTAATCTAAATGTTACACAAGCTGGATAAATTATATTGCATTAAATTGATAAAACAATGACAATAGGTTGAGGTTAGGTAAGTAAATTTAGTTTTATGGCATGATTTAAAGTCAATTTGACAGTTAAGTATATTTATTCGTATTACTCGTAATAAACACATTTCATATTCTTGTTCTAGTTGCCTAATAATATGCTAATTATACCAAGTATCATATTAAGGTTTGTTTTTTATTTTGGGTAAACTATTATTATTTGCTTTGGTAATTCCCGATGGCTATACATATTAGGCTATCTTACAATAATTATCTATGAACAAACTGATAAAGTGTATCAAAGTAACAATCACATGAATGACAAATCAATAAAATCTATGAAAACTCTAACCACAAGTAATGTTTTGCACGGAGTGACGTCAGTCTTTCTGATTGGTGTTTACTATCACGTGACCTTATGCCTATTATTACCGAATTTATTTCATAAAAATAATAATAATCTTTAATTATTATGATAAATAGCTTTATTTTTCGTTATCTGTATATCGTAATTCATATTTAGAAACTGTTAGCCATCCGATTTATTGTTAGTGGACACAAGCCTATTGGTAGATTGCATAGAGTTTCGACAGTATACAGTAGATCTTGGGTCTTATCAAGTCGTCCACCCCTGATGTATACGGTATGGTTTGATTGAAAGAATTAGATCTCAATCGACCCATTGTTTTGAGTGAGACGCAGCAAATTATAGCCCTGGAAGTAAGAACCTTTCTCACCGGCAGAAAAATCTAGGACGCCGTCTTCAATCTGATTCATATTTAACTATTTTTCACAAATACTTAACCCACTAAGTAATTTTGATTGAGAGTGATACTTATTATAATATTTTGGCAACACATTGTTGATATGGTCTTCTTGATTATATAAAATATCATATTTGAATTATGTTCAACAATTTACAATGTTACATGATAATTCACCCTTTGTTTTTCATGTTTTCCAATAGATAGATATCCTGAAAATTAGTTTTTTAACATACTATACAAATACAGTAGAATCATACTAATGTTAATTACAACGCATGTTAGTGTATCATTAATTTTCTAAGAGAAAATGGAACAGAATAACAGAAGCAGTATAACTTGGGTAATCATCATATCAATTTGTGCTCTAGATAACTTCACAGTAATTTATCAATAGGTATGCACCGTTTGCTATTGGTTGTCTGCTTTGTTTAGTGTGAACTATTAATTGATTTCTTCATTTTGTTACCTACCGATAAATTATCGATATGTTGTAAATATCCTCCAAAATTAAAACAGATATCACTGGCGCTATGAAAAACGTATCCAAATTGGCTACGCAAGACACGTACGTTTTTCTTACGGCGCCGAATATCAATGATTCTCGTGTCAATGTTAAATGAAGCAAGAGAAAATCATTTGGGGAAATTTGATAGTTACTACATGTATTTGTATACTAGCGGCGGCCCGCGACTTCGTACGCGTAGAGTTAGTTAGAAATAAAGGTTCACTGCTCGTTCCCCGTAGGTGATAGCGTGATAATATGTAGCCTATATGTTGACCAGACTCCTTAATAATTTGAAGTAAATCCATGCAGTACTTTTTGAGTTTGTCCCGGACATACATACAGACAAACAGACAAAAATTCTAAAAACTATATTTTTGGCTTCAATATCGATTGTAGATCACAACCCAAGTATTCTTTTAAAAAAAATATTCAATGTACAGTTTCGACTTTCCTACCATTTTATTATATGTATGGATACTGTCCTTTTCTAAAGTTAACAAAACAAAAAACTTCGCCGTGGCATTAACATTAAACTTAGCTCTTTCAATGCGTCTGCGGCCTTGTTCTAGTAACCGGTCTCACATGTAGATAATAAGGTACACAACAAATATTTTACAGATTCGACGACTGCCGAATAAGGAGTATTATGTTTTGAGATTAGTGTTTGCCTTGCCTCTTTAGTCGGAATTCCGTTAATACGTTATTCTTTGTTGTGGTTTCATGTCATCCTGTAAATGATCTTTTGTGTTCATATTGTGTTGTATGAACAAAAAGCAGTTATTATTCCCAAACAAAAGATTGTTATTTAAAACTCATAGATGACTTTAATTTTTGAGATCCTTTTAATATTTTTTATACAAAATCCCAGATTTGTTCAACAATTCTGTGACTACCTACTAGGTACTAAATCCCACGATTTTCATTTTGGGAAATACCGGTGTGAAATATGAAACTCATTTATATTACCTCTGTTAACCCTAGGACCCTCAGTTCACACGCTCTTACCACCTAGAATTTGATTACAGGCTACAGGTCGACTTCAATATAGAAAACTTTTTTTCGTTTTCTATCATGCCTATAATAAGTTGTGGTTTTTAGAACCTTTCATAAGTCCAATTTCCACAAAGCGCAGGCTAGCTTTATTTGGGTTCTTTACCCTCATGCCTCTACAGAATATTATAACTAGAGATCATCCGATCTCTAGTTATAATATTCTGTAGAGGATCGGATGCATATTTACCTAAGATGTTGGCTATTATGGAAATCACTTTTTCTAGCAAACCCAGATTGATGACAGATTTACCCCGTTTATCTAAACTTAGCTTCGCTTAGCTCTCGACTGAGCGTAGCGCAGTAGTTCGTTTCGTTCCTGAAGCGACAGGAGCTAAAAACACGCGCTTTACTGACTTATCTAGGCATGAGAGCAATATTATGTATGACTTTGTCTAATACACATTTCTTTATTTATTTAAATAATATACCTTATTCCATTGTTCTAAATTTCGTAGATGGCGGATCAAACCGCTTCCATGTGGGGGTCTTGTTGCTTCGACGTTGGTGACGTAAAACTGACGATGGGCACTGGAACATTCTTCGACATAAACACCGGGTCTTCCCCCCACGCCAGCGTGTCTGGCCTCTACCCGGTGGTGGGGTGGCGGATCGGGAAGGAACTGGTTTATTCGGCAGAGGGCGCTAACAACGATACCGCTTCCATCATCAAGTGGGCACAAAATTTAGGTAGTGAAACCTTGTTTTAATATTTTTATTTGCACATTAAACTGCTTGTATTTTATATCTAAAGAAAACGGTTTTTAGAAATCCAACTCTTCATCAAGCGAACCAGCGCGGCAGCGTCCTAAACCACGCAACAGATAACGATGCGATTTTCAATATCAATTAGATAATTTTCCGTGAAACCTATCTCTTTATCTACACGCTGTATCCTGGCGGGGTAGGCAGAGAGAATAGAGTGAAATAAGACATTGTCGGTACACACATCTATCGTTTCTTTCACATTCGCCCTTTTCATACATATTTTTGGGGCTTTGCCCACATACAAAATGTGATCAATTTGATAGTGATAGGTGAGAGCGCTAACAATGACACCGCTTCTATCGTCAAGTAGGCTCAGAGTTTGGGTGATTAAACCTTGTTTTAATATTTTTATTTGAGCATTAAAATGATATAGATATTTTATATGTAAAGAAAATGGTTTTACTAGATAAAATCCAACTCGGCATCAAGCGAACCAGCGTGGCAGCGTCCTAAACCACGCAACAGATTTTGATGCGATTTTTAATATCAATTAGATAAATTTTCGTGAAAGGTTTATTATTGTTGTTCATAACAACAATTCAAACCAGAGAACAAAAACTTTAGCAATATACTACCGAAGCGAAGCGAGGGCGGGTCACTAGATATCTGATATTATAAATATAAAGTATTGAAATGTCCTTTCCAGGGTTATTTGACAATCCGGAGGATACAGCAGAATTAGCCACATCAGTTCCAGACACCGACGGTGTGTACTTCATACCGGCTTTCAGTGGATTGGGAGTGAGTTTTATTCATTTCTTACCCTAATAAATCTCCCATGAAGAAGTTGCATTTGTCTTCCTAAACTACGTGAAGGATTTTGAAGTCTCACCACGATGGTCCCGTGTGGATTGGTCTGTTTTAACCACTGCAGATGCAAGTCAAGACCAACGGCTTAGCGTGCCTTTTGAAGTACGGAGGAATTCGAGATGGCAAATTCCTGTAAACGGCCATTGCGAAAGATGCTTTCACGATCGCAGAACGAGAGCATTAACTACCATGCCCCATCTCATCATATTTATGATACTAGCTTCCGCCATTATGTACGCGTTATTTTGATTTTTGAGTATCCCGCAGGAACCTAACATTTTCCCTACACTATATAATGCCAAATTTCCTTCAACCTTCTCCCACTCGCGGGCATTCAGTACGCGCCGTACTGGAATATTTTAAACTAAATTTAAAGCAGTGTCTCCTGTAAATTCTTTATAGAGTATTGCAAGGATAGAATATTGTTAAAATTCGTTTATTTTAAGGCCCCGTTGTTTGATGCGTAGTTAAATTACAATAACATTTTAAATACATAGTAATATGTGTCAAAATTTGACAAATGGTTACTTTTACTAAAAATCAAAATCATTTATTTTTTTCATTTAGTCTAGGCTGTTACAAGCACTTGCGAAGGTCAAAAAGCTACGCCAACGGTTAACTGCGGCGGGAGACCTTGTATTGAGAAGAACCGTCAAGAAACTCAGCAAGGGCTTTTTTTCTCCCTGTTTTGTTATATACACAATCGTCAAGTTGAAAGATGACTTCAGAGATACTTCTGAAGTCACCTTTCATTTCGTTCCTCCTTCTATAGTATTTTAACTATAGTCACATTTAGATATGTTTTAAAACAACGCGGCCTTAGGGTATCATGCCAGAATTAGGCTCATTACATTGTAATTTGTGATTCAGCCACCGTTCAACGACGGTACGGCAGCGGCAGGGTTCGTGGGTATGAAACCTTCAACCACTCGCGCGCATTTAGTACGCGCCGTACTAGAGTCGCTAGCTTTCCGTACGGCGCAACTTTACGCCTGTGTACGGGCCGAGACCAACTTCGACTTCCATAGTATAAGGTGCGTTTTTATTTATTTTTTGTATTATTATTGTCTACTTGTGGCTTTGTCTGCGTTAAAAAATGTTATAACCAGCTTAAAGGATGATTTCTGGGATAAAAACTATCATATGGCCTTTCCCAGCACTTAAACTATTTATATATCAGTTTTTATCTAAATCGGTTCAGCGGTGTAAGCGTGAAGAGGTAGTAGAGAGACACACTTTCGCATTTACAATATATTCCATAGTATAAGGTGCGTTATATATAATTATATTTTTTTATTACTGACAGACCAGACAGCAATTGTTCTCTTGTACTACCCGATAAAAAAAAATAGGATTTTTATATATTTTTGTCATATAGAACAATCTAGCGATCCGACAGACATTGCTCTGCCCATAAAAAATAAATGATATTCTTAAACCCGATTACAGAGCCACCTATCGCATCCAGTTGGAACTTAATTTTATTTGATGTATAAATCATAACTTAATTGTTTTTACTTAAGACCTTTTATAAAGTAGGTAGTTAGGAAACATTAAAAAAACAGGTAAATTTAAATAATCAAAAAAACCAGATTTCTGAAATAATACTTCAAAGAAAAACTGAAAAGAAGAAAACAAGTCTAGTAGTCTATGATTCTGTTAAGTAAGGAACAAAGCTACTTTAAAAAAAAACAATTAATTTATTTTCCATAAATTGCAGGTTAGACGGTGGGGTGTCAAATAACGATTTCATTGCCCAATTGGTGGCGGATTTGACAGATCTGCGCGTTGAGAGACCTCTCGACGTCGAGATGTCTTCACTTGGTTGCGCGTATATCGTCGGCCTACAGTTAGGTGAGGGTTTTAACATATATTTACATACATAGATGGTATAAACCTGAAATGTTAGTCTTTTTACTTAAATAACTAGATTTCACGACTCCATGCATGGATTCTTGAACACAAGTAGATGCCATATTTACCGATTATACAAAGGCTTTCGTTTGGATAGGCCATAATACTTTTAGATAAGCTTCAAGCGGCTGGAATACAAAGAAATCTATATAATCTGGTTTTCATGTTATATCGAAACTCTATATTAAGCGGTTGCTTTAAAGGGTTATGTGTCAACATGGCATAATGTACCCTCTGGGGTACCACATAGTTCTTTCATTGGACCTTTGTTATTTAATATTTCATTTATGAATGATGTCTATGCTTTTTACTTTCCTAATTCCTACTTTTTGCAGATGATTTAAAAATATATAAGCACATAAAAACAATTAATGATCGTCTTGAAGTAAATTTAAATAAATATATTTGTATTTGTCAGCCCTTATAACAAGGTCTAGCTAGTTTTGAAGAATAATATACTCAAAGTAAACTGGACCTTTTTATCAAAATGTCAGATAATAATATCGATGATTGAAGACTAGCACAAAAAAATTGCGGTGTTAAAAAAACCTTTATCAATTTCCTGTTCTTCAATTTACCTGTGTTTCTTTTTCTCAGGTATATGGAACTCGAAAGACGATTTGCGAGCTCTCCGCAAAATAGGTTGCGTTTTCAAACCGCGTCCCAATATGAGATTGCGTTACAAAGCGTCCATACAAAGATGGGAAGACGCAGCGAAACGAATGTGTGGCTGGTATTCCGATAATAAATCGTCAAATTCGTTAGTTTCTGATTCTAGCAGTAGCTCAGTTACACCACAGAATAGCTTCAAAGTCACTCCGATGAAAAATGGTAGACATTCCAAATAACGGTGGCTTTTCTACGCGCTCGCTTTGTTCGTCGCGTGTCTCCCTGTGTACAGATGATATTGCCGAACGAAAAGACGGTTCAACTTTAAATAGTTGAGATAAGGGTGCTTTTTCAATGGATCACAGTTGCTCTGTTACAACATAGAATAGCTTCAAAGTCACTACGAGGAAAAATAGGAGTTAACTATTTAAATAACGGTGGCTTTTCTACACGCTCGCTCTGTTTGTCGCGTGTCTCTCTGTGTACAGATGATATTGCCAAACGAAAAGACGGTTCAACTTTAAATAGTTGAGATAAGGGTGCTTTTTAATGGATGTCAGTTACTCTGTTACAACACAGAATAGCTTCAAAGTCACTACGAGCAAAAATAGGAGTTTTCTTTTTAAATAGCGATGACTTTTCTACGCGCTCGCTTTGTTCGTCGCGTATTTCCCTGGGTACAGATGATACTGCCTAATTAAATGAAGACTGAATTTTGAGTGATTGGGATAAGGGATCTGTTTAATTGAACGACAGTTACTCTGTTACCAAACAGAATAGTGTCAAAGGTACTACGAGGAAAAATTGGAGATATTCTAAAATAGCGATGGATTTTCTATGTGATAGCTTTGTTTGTCGCGTCTCTCTCTGTGTACAGATGATATTATCGGATGAATTTTAAATAGTTGAGATAAGGGTGCTTTTTAATTGGACCACAGTTACTATGTTACAACACAGAATAGCTTCAAAGTCACTTGTAGCAAAATGGCCATTTTCCTAATAGTGATAGCTTTTGTCCGTCGCGTGGTTCGCTGTTCGCAGATGATATTGCCGAACGAAAAGACGGTTGAACTTTAAATAGTTGGGATAAGGGTGCTTTTGAATTGGACAGCTATTCTGTTACACCACAGAATAACGCATTTTAAGGAAAAACGGCAGTTTTCTACGCGCTCGCTTTGTTCGTCGCGTGTCTACCGGTGTACAGATGATATCGCCGAACGAAAAGATGGTTTGACTTTTAAGTGATTAGGATAAGGATGCTTTTTGATTGAACAAGTAGAACTATGTTTGAGGTTATAATTTTTGATGTGTAACATCTTTCCTCTCGCTGTCGTGCAATTTGTGGGAGTGATTACGTGAAGTGGGACGGAAGTGTGTGACAGGCAGTTCGGGAAGCGCGTGCTATTTGATTTGATTTTAGAACATAATGTTCAAATGGCTTATTCCTTTTGTAGTAGGTTTTATTTTTTATTTACTAATATAAGGTGTGGTTTCAAATGTTACCAATAAGGTTCGCTCGTTTTTTTAAGCATGTAACTGCTCGATGTTTAATTCTAAAGAAAATATTACTAGAAAAAAAACACGTGGACCAGGCAGCAGACGGGACGGGACGGGGATTGTGGTTTATGTACAATGCGAAGAGATGGCGCTGCCTTGCAACTTAAGAAAGGCTAGAAAGAATTCAACACGACGTCCGCGTGGAATTTTTCTAGTAATATTTTCTTTATGTTTGAGGTGTTGGTACAAAAGTGATGTTCTCCCAATGTATACTCATTTCTCTGGTACCTACACATTTGATGCTATTCAACTAAACAAGGGACAATGGTTTAAATGAATTCTTATGTAAATAGTAAGTTTGGTGAATTGGTGCTGGTCATTTTTCTTCTCACAATGAAGAATTTAGGTTTAAGGAATTTAAAGGAAAGACATAAAATGGTCGAATATGAAAGTGACAGAATTTGAAAAGGTACACAACTCGATCATGGAATTTCCATGTTTTAATACTAGATAGTGAAAAGGATAGACTGCTGTTAAATTAATCTAGGATTTGCATTTTAGCGTGTATCGAAGGCATTGTTGGATCAATCAATTCTTTAAGGCTATTTAGTATATAATATATTGTAACCCCGATTGATTTTTGTTACATTATTCGCTCACCATTATTTTATTACCGGTTTAAAAAGACGTATATATTTTTATAAATTTAGAGGTGCTGTGTCCATTTTATTTGCATTCTTTGACATAGGTCGTAGAATGTACTATTAAACAAATTGATTCCTGATCCACTTTTCCGATAATTAGCTTAACACGCCAAAACACACAGAATTTTGCATAAAATATGGTGTACATAAGATGTTACATTTGTGTTTGATGTTATGTTACACATTCAGTTGAAAGAGTATCACATATTGTACTGTCACACAGCATACAATACAGAAAAATTATAAAATTAAATAATTTTAATAACCTCAAAACAATTTAAACTTATGTCCTTTATAAATCTGCATCATAATATTAGTTAAGAAATATTTTTTTTTACAATAATGAAATTATATTACATATTCATATCAAAATGTTCATAGAATTATAATAGTCAATGTTTATAAAATGGAAAATCGCTTAAAGTACCTAAGATAATTACAATTTAAGTATACTTTTGTGCTAAAAATTCTCGCACTGAATAAAAGCATTTATCCTGTAGCCATTTTCGTAACCGAGACTTAAATAATCTTAGTGGAAATAAGTTTATGTCCTCTTGTATGTTATTAAATATTTTCACAGACATAACATACGTACTATTTTTGTAAATATGAGTTCTCGCAATAGGTAATTCCAACTTATTAGGAAAACTTGTCATGAAATTACATACAGTCTTTTTAGTTGTATTAGTTTTCACAAATACGCAAATTTCTAAATATATGAACACGCCACAGTTAATATTCCAAGTTCTATAAATATAGGTTACCAGGAGGACCAGGGACTAGCATCAATAATGGCTCTAACACATAGTTTTTGTGCTATAAAAACTCTTTGTACTTTGACAAGTGTTCTCCTATATAGAAATGCGTTAAAATAACAAGCTAAAAGATGTCCTGAATGGTGGCAGGAAAAATATTGGATGATTCAAAAGAGTTTTCATTTCAATAAGTCCATTTGAATAAAGTATATTTTATATTTCATTTTATTATATGGACATTTTATTAATATGGATCAAAGATCTTTGTTTCAAGTGCAAAAGATCAAGTTTAAGATAAAATTGGAATAGCAGTTTGTATTTCAAAATTACTTTTCGTACATGTATCAGAAACTCTTTATATGAAATCCCATCGAAATCCTTAGTCTATGGGCAAAATTCTAATTAGTGTTATGACAACACTATGTCACAGGCACAGGGAGGCGGCAAAATCTGTCAGGTCAAATATGATTGTTCTGAAAATAACAAGTTTGTTTCCAGGGTTATGTAGGTACATTTAACCGAAAGTCTGCCTTATTGATTTGCAATGTTTGTAAGAAAATAAGCTTATGGTGGGTCAGGAACCAAATTGGCTGGTACATAGGAAATGTTGGATCAGTGCCCTATTTCACCAACTCTACATAAGTTGGTGACATATGTCGAACTTCTTTTCTATTCATAATAGTTTATTATACATGTACCAATATTTTAAAACCACCAAATGTTTTTCTTTTGGAGAAAATTATCCGGAATCATAGCGTTTGTAAAGGCGACGATTAGTTTGGGACTGAGTTGGTTATTGGTTGTTAAACTTGAAAGAGTCTGTGGGGAAAGAGAATGGGCGTGGCGAAAAACGGAACTTACATTAAGATTTTTATTTGGCAATCAAACCCAGCATTCTGTAAAACGTCAACATTTTGTATTGATACGGATTTGTTTGTTGTTGTGATTTTTTGCGGTTTTTTGTATTTAATCATGACTAAAAGGGGTAAAACCTTACAAATACGGTAGAAAAGCACTACAGCGCCCTCTAATCTAAATCCCATTCTCTTTCCGCACAGACTCTACCAGCACTTCAGTTGGCTGTTCGTGTTTGCAACTTTGTAAACTTGACATCAATCTGTCCTATACACTCCTGATAAAGCATGATAAGGACAAACTTTTATCAAGTTTACAAATAGCAAATACGAATAGCAAGTGAAATGCTGGCATGAGATTATGAAAGTTTAGATTAATGACACTAGCTCAAGATTACATTTTAAGTTTTTTACGTAATGTGATGTTTTAATTTAAGTTTAACGTTGTTACGAAAAAAGTTTCTTTTTTAGTAAGAGCAACTCTTGTGAATTTTTATGATTTTCAGTTCAGTTACGAGAGACCATTTTCTTATAAATAAGAATAGAGGCTCAAGCATGAATTTCGTCGGTTTCGTAATCTTATAGCATTGTCAACGTTTCTATTATAACTGAGCAGCGAACCTGCCGGACTTAAGAACAAACTTGCTCTTTCCATACAAAATTTAACGATGACGATATGATTACGGATGTGTCAAAGTTTGTGCTTGTGTGTGTGATGGCTGCAAGTAAAATTACACTCTGTTACCGTAACATAGAGTTAAAGGTTGAATATTATTAAAAAGAAAAGCTGGTCACATTTCTCTTTCAGTGAAATATTTGTTTGCTCAATAAATTTAAGATTTAATTTATAAATTAAACATTTAATTATGTTGTGGTAAGTTGAGTTTTTTACTACATAACTTTCGATTATATCAATCAAAGCTAAATGTAATATTGGGTTGGGGGAAAAGTTTCTTCGTATTTTATATGAAAATTAAAAACATATTAATAAACTTTATTTACATTTAACTAAAGTATGTGGGTGTCATTTTGTTTAATAACTTTTTGCTATCCTGCAAGATGGCAAAAAGTTATGTGCTGCAGTAGTGTGCAGTATAAAAAAAATATTTCACCTAATTTATGCTTATCATGAGTATATCAAACCCAGACTGTATATTAATAAGGCATAGATGACAATATTATTTAGATTAGTATAAATAATATTATATTAAACTTGTATATAATTATGGACGAGGCCACAACACTGCGTTGCGACGTCGCATCGCACATACGACATCGCATTGCAATCGCGATGCGATGTGATGACGCAACGCAATAATTTTCATCGCAACAGTCGGCGGCGCATCGTATAATTCCGCGATTTGTACGATGTCGTATATCAGGTCTGGCGAGGTAAATGGTAGGTAATAGGTTCGGCAGCCGATTGGTCCTTGTCGGAATATGTGACAAAATGGCACTTTTTTTTGGTGAGAACCTATGATTTTTAGGGTTCCGTAGCCAAATGGCAAAAAACGGAACCCTTATAGATTCGTCATGTCCTGTGGCATGAAACAATAAGAACTACACTGTTGATAAAGTAGATGTATTCTGTGAACCGCATTAAGATTTTCACACAAAAATTGAAAAACATTTGGGGGTTCCACATACTTAGAACGGAAACTCAAAAATTTTTTTCATCAAACCGATACGTGTGGTGTATCTATGCATAGGTCTTTAAAAATGATATTGAGACTTCTAATATAATTTTTTTCTTAACTGAATACTTAGCGCGATAGACACTTCCAAAGTGGTAAAATGTGTCCCCTGTAACTTCTAAAATATGAGACTGATAAAACTACAAAAAATATATGATGTACATTACTATGCAAACTTCCACCGAAAATTGGTTAGAACGAGATCTAGTTAGTAGTTTTTTTTAATACGTCATAAATCACAAATCAATTAAAAAAAATACACTATTATAAAAACATCTATCAAAGTTACAACGAACTACAAGAACTTTTATATTGTTACTTGCTGCTACGGAACCCTTCATAGGCCGCTTTTTGTTTGATAGTAGCGGGGCATATTACCATTCAAGGACCGGGGATGGCCCTGTCTTAGATTCTACGGCGCGACGCCACAACCCAACGCAGTCTTGTAGCCTCACCCTATGTAGGTACATGTAAGATTTTTTACCATTGGCTCAATGTATAAAAGTATTTTATGGATATGTATTTATTGTTATGTTGTGTATTTGAAGAATATATATTCTGAATAGTTAAACATGTTATTTTGCAGTTTTGCGTTGTTATTTTGTGTTCACATCGAATCTTGCCACCTTTTCAATGAGATTGAAATTTTCAACACCTTTATGTATGTAGACTGTTATCCTTTGGATTATTTTTTAAATAAATCTAATGGAAATCTTTCCTTCTGTATTTTTATTTTTATTTTAAGGCATCCCTCTAATACTAATAAAAAGGATTTACAATTTGAGCCAAGGCTCGCAAGGCTCCGATTAGTGTTCACACATCTCAACCTCGGAGACACTTTGCTTTCTTCTCGCCCACCATCTCTCAACAATTAGAACCGAGGTTGACAGTATATATCCCACAAGTAGCAAACTGAACGGTATCCGTTGTTCCTGCATGGTGCTGGGAGTGAATGGCCGCGGCTTCTGACCCGTGTACTTCAGTTTCATCTTTGCCGACAGCTTAAGGGAGTTCTTTGTCCAACGGTAGTATATTTCCGGAAGGCCTGCTTCCACTATACGCATGAGCAGCACGGTCAAGTCGTTGGCGAATGGGAAATCTGCAAATTTACCAATAATTCAGCGAAGAATTCAATTTGTTGAAGTGAAATTTCTATTCCGGCGGGGTGTAAATAGAATAATTTTATGCCCCACGGCATTGTCACACGGAGGGAAAGTATATTAAATGTTGATGATAGGATATTTTACTGAAAGAAAACATCATTTCATTTTTAATAAAAAGGAGCCTCCAAGCTTTCGGCATACGGTCCGCCGGCCCGTTCTGTTCCTGGGTAGGTGACTTCCTGCATGAGTGTAGAATTCGTGTCCTTACGAATGGTAGTAGTTCGCGGTTCATGTCAGTGAATGCCGGCCTTCCTCAGGGCTCCGTCCTATTCCTATCCCCCACTCTCTTTCAGCTGTATATCAATAACTTAATTCCACTTGGGAATATTCATTGCTATGCAGACGATAGTACACTGCATGCGGGATATCTCGGACAAGTAGCGGCTGGACAGGCGGTAACCAGGGAGAAACGGGAGAATCTTGTCAATGAACTCAATCAAGCTCTTCACCACATTTCTGAATGGTGTACCAAGAACTTGGTTGAACAAAACACTCGAGCAAGAGAGCAGTATCACCATGCTTGGTAAGGAAATTCGCTGTGACTTAAATCCAAAGAATTACATCGAAAGCGTGGCAAAAATGGCCTCACGCAAAATTTTGAACAAGGTGCGGCGTTTTTTCACGCCCGAGCAAATGTGCTTGTTGTACAAGACGCAGGTGCGGTCTTGCGTGGAATATTGCTCGCACCTCTGGGATGGCTCCCCCAAGTACTTGTTCGATGCTTTGGATAGGGTACAGCGGCACGCGATTCGCATCATAGGCGATGAGGGAGTGACTAAATACGTCGAGCTTCTTCAATTACCTACGCCGTGACGTGATGTCACTAAGCGTGTTCTATAGTCTGTACCACGGCAAGTGTTCTGAGGAGTTATTCTCTCTTATTCCACCTTCCCTTTCCTTCAGAGGATCACGCGCGCGGGCCTACGTTGTTGTCTAACTGTGGCCACAATTGCAATGCGTACAAAGAAATTTGGTGACTAATTTCTTTGTCGCACTATTCGTAAATGGAATGCTCTGCCCGCTCACGTGTTCCCTCCGTCTTACAACCAGGGATCCTTTAAAAGAGGCGTGAAGAAGCAACATGCAGGTCGGCAAGGTGAAGATGGCCTGTAAAAAAAAACAATTATAGGTCCGACGAATGACTCCACCCCACCTGTAACATCAGGTGGGTTGGAGTCATTCGTCGGACCTATAATTGTTTTTTTGATTTATTATATTATATTATAAAACGTATATATTATATTATATACGTTTTTTACGAACCTTTTCGGGTAATATAGGTGACGTAATAATTGCAAAAGCATTGGTCGATGAGGTAAAGTAACGGCATCCCATCTCTGTCGATTTGATTCAGTCGCATAGTCTCCAGAATGACATCAGGTATCCGTTGCAGTGTGGCCCAATTGTCATGTACCAGCAAATCGGCTGTTGATAAGTTTACATTTGTATTAGAAAAAATGTAGGTTTATGGAGCTAGTAATCATGCTAGGGTAAAAGCACGGGTAAAAGTTTTCTATACAGCTAATAATACATGCGGGCCATGTGCCTGTGCCGATTTGTGGGCGCAAACGACAGCTGCAGATAGAGTCAACCTAAACAAGTCAGCGTGGTAGTATCTTGGACATGTTGATGTTTTTTTCTAGTAGGTATTTTAGTATTTCTTTAAATAACAATTAATGGACAATGAATGCATCCTATTATGGATAAGGGTGATATATGGAACACCCGTTTTTTTATACTTTATAAATATTCATTAAGTTACTGCCGCAGTTAAATGCATAAATAAAATATAATCAACTATTAAAATATGGATAGCATTCATTATGGTTTCCTATACTAATGATTATTTATTTAATGTAAATCTCTTACATAGATTATTATACCCGTCATAGTAGATCTGTGACTCCAAAATAGGTAGATGATCTGGACTACCAAGCAATTTGACTACAGAAGGGCTAGTGCGAATCTCCACTTTGGAATCTCGCAAGTCATTTATAGTCTTCAATTGGTGGCCTCTCACCATGGTCGTATACATATAATTTATATGTCCCTGAAAAAAAAAGAAGTATTTGCTGATATTTTTAAATTAAATGATGCGGATAGAGGCTGCTAGGTCTAAGGCGAAGATATTCAATTTATTTCAATATCGTTTATTTAGTCTAGGCTGTTACAAGCACTTGTGAATGTCGAAAAGCTACGCCATCGCTTCGCAAATCTACGGCGGGAGACCCTGTACTGAGAAGAACCGGCAAGAAAGCAAGGGCTGTTTTTTGAAGTGAAAACTTCTTTAGTATCTTTGTGACTTGAGATTCGATGAAACGGAAGTAGTGTATTTGACCCAAGATAGGTATCCGTTATTTTATCATTTACTATACGAGACAGCTAGCCGAACGTTAACGGTCTTGGGGTCGACATCAAATAATCGATAATATTCGATCCTGAGCTCGGTTATTTTTTAATTGATTTTTTTTTCTTTTATTAGGCTATTTTTTTAATTAATTTAAATAAAGAATATTGAAATTTTCCCATTATTTTAAAATACCTGAATAGTTCAGTATTAAACGTTTGGTAGGTGGCTAAGTTGTTTGTTAATACAGGTTTGATTTTTATCAACAATCCTAACCTTTCCAATGTTTGCAAATTGTTTAAAGTATTTTTTTATAAGTAAATATTTCGAAAAAAGCTTAGATAAGAAAAACATAACAAAAGAAATAAATGAGCTTCGTACCCCCTCCACTTGTGTTTATCAAGTCATAGTAGGAGTTTGCTTGGCCCCAGCGTTGTACGTGTATTAGAGTTGTTCAAAGCCGCTATAAAGCAATAGCGTGTTGAAAATTATATGCTATTATAAAATAGCACGCTATTAAATACGCTATGTTAATAGCGCTTTATATACCTGGAAGCTTTTGGTGGTTCGTTGGTGCGTTAAATCTCGCAGCACGCTAGATCGCGTTGTGTTTTATTATATATATTATATATAATACAAACAACTCAAAACTACATAAAATTAAGCACAACAACAATATACACATAGCAACTCTGAACACTCGCACTTTAAGAACTGACGAAAGTTTGCAGGAATTAGAAGTTGTACTACAAAATCTAAACTGGGACATAATAGGCCTTTGTGAAACAAGAAGGCTTGGCGAATCTATACAACAAAGGTCTGACTACATATTTTTCAACAAAGGCGAAACTGCAGGACAAAAGGGAGTAGGTTTCTTGATCAAACTCGCTCTAAAGAATCAGGTTATAGAATTTCTAGGAATATCAGAAAGAATTGCTGCCATAACGTTATCACTAACCAGCTACAAAAAAGAATGGAAAATTATCCAAGCATATGCACCAACAGAAAACGCCTCCACAACTGAGCTTGAAGACTTCTACACTCGGCTATCCACATACATCGAACAATACCGCCACTGTCACCTAGTGGTAATGGGTGACTTTAAATCTCAAGTGGGCGTGAGGTAAAGGGGAGAAAATCTTAACATAGGAGAATTTGGATTTGGTAAGAGAAGTAAAAATGGTCAGATGCTTACTGACTTTTTACTTGAACATAATCTACCGCTGCTAAATTCATTTTACATGAAGAAAAATAAAAGTAAATGGACCTGGATCTCCCCAGACGGGAAAACAAAAAACGAAATAGATTACATATTGACAAATAATAGGAGAGCTTTCTTAAATACATCAGTAATTCAAAACCTAAACTTCAATACTGATCACAGAATGGTAAGAGCAGTCTTAAACAGAAAGAAACCAAAAAACACACGTCGAAATATTAAAAACAACGATCAACTCATTGGTGAAGCTTCGGAAGAACTAAAAGGCACCTTAAAAGCATGTGAAATAAGTTTTAACACTGAAAATATACATGAATATTACAACAAAGTAGAAACACTACTAAAAAGCAATGTTATATCCAGCACAAATAGACCTAAGACAACTTTAAGCGAACACACATGTAATCTATTGACTAAAAGAGAATCGCTACTTTCGTCAACTAGAAAAGACTACAGGAAAATTAACCAACTAAGTAGAAACATAAGAAAAAGCATCAAGAAAGATAGGAAAAACAGAAGGTTAAGCATCTTGGAGAAACACATTATTGAAACCGGTGGAGTGAAAAAAGCATTAAAAGAACTCAGAGAAGCTAAAGAGTGGATCCCAAAAATTGGCAAACAAAATGAAATCAAGCTAAGAAGAAGAGATATTCTTGAAGCAGCTACCCAATTCTATCAAGAACTGGATTCTGATGTAACTTTCTCAAAGATATCCAAAGAATCCTACGGCACAGAAGAAGACGAAAACTATGTACCACCTTTATTAAATAGAGAAATAGAAGTAGCAATAGAAAGCCAAAGGTTAGAAAAGGCACCAGGACCAGACAGAATTCAAAATGAATTACTAAGAGGAACAATCCAAGAAATAACTCCAATTCTGACTACTATTTTCAACAAAATATTAAATAATAAAACCATACCAATACAATGGACAGAAGCTCACATAATACTTATACACAAAAAAGGTCCCAAAGATGACATTAACAACTATAGGCCTATAAGCCTCATGTCCAATGTTTATAAATTTTTTGCCAAGGTAATATTAAATAGAATTAGTCAGATACTAGATGAGAATCAGCTTATAGAACAAGCTGGATTCAGGAAAAATTATTCAACAATTGACCACATTCACACTATTAAACAGATCATGGAACGATATAACAAATATAACTAATCTATATATATATTGCTTTCATAGACTACTCAAAAGCCTTTGATAGTGTAAGCCACCAATCTATCTGGTCAACTTTAGCAAAACAAGGAGTATCCGGAACATATATTGCGGTTTTAAGAGAAATCTACCAAAACAGTTCAGCAAAAATAAAATTAGAATCACTAGGCAAAAAAATCGACATAAAAAGACGAGTAAGACAAGGGGATCCACTGTCACCGAAACTTTTTACTGCTGTTTTGGAAGATATTTTCCGCAAGCTCCACTGGGATGAGTATGGGTTAAAGATAGATGGAAAAAGGCTAAGTCATCAACGATTCGCAGACGATATTGTGATCTTCGAAGAAGACCCGAGGCTCCTGGAGAGAATGATTCAGGAATAAACCAAAGAGAGCCTAACAGTTGGACTAAAGATGAATCCTGATAAAACTAAACTTCTAACCAACTCATCTAAAATTGCTATTCAAGTCGACAATATCGCTTTGGAGTATGTGCAAGAATATATCTATCTTGGTCAAATTATTTCAGCCAGAGATCAAACTTCTAAAGAAGTGAACTCACGAATAGCCAATGGATGGAAGAAATATTGGAGTCTGAAGGAGATAACCAAAGCCAGAGACCTAAGCATATCACTGAAGAGAAAAGTATTTAATACCTGTATCCTGCCATGCCTGACATATGGATGCGAAATTTGGTCACTAACAAAACAACACCGAGATAAGCTCGAATACTGTCAAAGAGCTATGGAGAGGAGTATGTTAGGAATAACAAAGAAAGATAGATGGAAATAGAAGACCTCAGGCGGAAGACCAAAGTAACTGACATCCTGACCCGAATAGACCAACAAAAATGGAGATGGACAGGCCACATGATACGTAACCAATCAGAAAAATGGAGTAAAGTTGTTACCAACTGGTACCCCAGAGATGGAAAAAGAAGCAGGGGACGGCTAGTTGCTAGATGGGCAGACGAGATTAAACAGACGGTGGGAGTTCACTGGAGAAGAATAGCCCTAAACAGATCTGAGTGGCGAAGATTGGAAGCACCATTTCTCCAAAGATTCGAGCATCGGCTGGACATCCTGTAGAGGCTGGGGGAGGCCTTGTGTCACTGACACGCTACGTTTACAACAAAAGAAGAATAAAAAACTAATTTTCAAACAAATTTTGTAAACTGGTAGCTTTAATAAAGGCTTTTTTATTTTATTTTATTTTATTTTATAATCTCAAATTTTGTAAACTGGTAGCTTTAATAAAGGCTTTTTTATTTTATTTTATTTTATAATCTCCGGGGTCCTATCCCCTGTCCCGGGTTCGATCCCCAGTTGGGTCAACTTAGAAAATTAACTTTTCTTTATTTCGGCAGGTCTAACTGATTGTTGTTACGCCATCTTTTTCGATTTCCTTGATATAAAAGCTTAAGTAAACTAATGATGTTTCACAATATTTATTTATTTTGATATTCTTTCTTTTTCTTTTATATATGCGGTGGTTAATATGTAGTTTATTATATTCTTGGTCATAATCATTACAGTATTTTCGTAGTTTCTTCTGATTCCCGTAATACAAAAGCTTCAATTAAGTAATTTTGAATAGTAATATTATGTACCTATATGATGTATGTACAATATTTATTAAATTGATATCGTCTGATATGTTTATTACAGTTTATTTCTTGCTCGTTAATCGCTACATAGCTTCTATCTAATCATTGTAAAATATGTAATTTTTTTTATTTGTTTTAGTGTCGCCATCTATCGAGAAATTAAGCATTTTCTTATACGATTACGGCAGTGCTTTTGTAAAAAGACTAGCATATATAAGCATGCGTGCTTTAAATTATCTAAGCTTTAAAACAGTTTGCTTAAAATTTTTTAGAAGAAGCGTGCGATCGCAGGAATATTTATGAAACTTGGTATCTCAGAAATAAAGCTTATTTATGTTTGCGATAAATATAACTTAAATAGTATATTATTCATGTTTCATTTAAAGCGATTAAGTTAATAATGTCTTTAAACATTACGCACATTTTCATTTTCTTATATTAAGCTATTATTTATTATTCGAAATAATTTAACTATAAAATATTTCATTTTGAACTAGAGAGTTGAATTTTAACACAGGTGTTGTCTATAAGACGTACCTAGTCATGAAGGACTTTAACGTGTTCGCATATGAATAAAATAAATAAATATTTCCAACACACACCAATTAGCCTAGCCCCAAAGTAAGCACTATAAGCCGTTGTTATGGGATACTAGGGTAACGGATAGAATACATATACTGTACATATATAAGTATATTTTTATAGAAATACATATTAAACATCCATGACTGGAGTACAAAGGCTAATATTCATCACACAAACATCTGCCCCCTCCGGGATTCGAACCCGGGACCTCTCGAGTCGGCGACACCATGAAACCCGGCGTACAAACCACGGTACAAACCACTCGGCCATGGAGGTCGTCCATGTCCGTTAGCACATGTCCGTTTTTTTTCTCTCTGTGTTATTACAGAGTCGTCAAATTGAAAAATTACTTCAATACGAGATAGCTCATGAAATCACTTTGCTTCCCATTACAAATGTAAATAATATTGAGTAACTTCTTTATGTTCTTAGCACTAATGTTACGGTGGTGTTTCTATTCTCTCAGATATTTTTGCGGCTGGACTTCTATCACTGCAACACTTATATTAAACGAAAAGACAACACCTCCAATTATCTAACTTTCTCTTTCATTCGTTTTAATAAAAAATAAAATAAAAGAATGTAGTAAGATCTAGGGTAGTGATTTGTTCATCTCTCTACATAGGTATTTATATATATATAAATAAATAAATATTCCAAACCCACTCACACCAATTAGCCTAGCCCCAAGTCTAGTAACGGATATAATACATAAGTACATTTATATAGAAATATATATTAAAAATTAATGACTGGAGTAAAAATGCTCGTATTTATCACACAAATATCTGCCCCCACCGGGATTCGAACCTGGGAGCTCTCGATTAGATATAAAAGAGTCAAAGAAGATAATGGGCCTAAACCCGGTTCGCGCATGGTTCCCCTGCAGTCTTTCCCTTTCACTAGATTTTTAAGAGCATGAAAAAGATATTGCTGTCAAAGTTAGTTGAGGTTTATAAATTCCAAGGAAGAAAATTATTCCAGATTCAGCCCGATATAGCCGGATATCGACAAAACTCACCTGAAACATAGATAGTATTATAACGGACGTGATTAAACAAGTGCCTCTTAGAATTGAAATTGTATCCCTCGTTGGTTTCATCATACATCCAAAAAATCCCAAAGACAAGTAATTAATAATTTGTAATTGATCAGCCTTGATACCAATTCTCTTCTTGATAAGTGATATGCCTTTCGCTATAACACCAATAAATAGCATTATAAATACAAGTGTCACCCAACTAAGTGGGTCAAAGCTACCGAAGGGGTATTGCCAAAGGGGCATGTAATCGGGTGTCTTCATTATTGCGCATATGGAATCAAATCCAATGTAATGTAGGTATTTGATTTCATCTCCGTTGACGTATTTCACCATGAACCTCGAGTTAAAAGATATGTCAAAGTAGTTGTGCAGCAAGAATCCCAAGCTGCCAGTGATGTTGTTCTCTGAAATCATGTATCCAAACGAATCAATGTTTTCAATTACGGGGAACGTGACTTTAAACTTAAAAAAGTTTATTATATCCTGCATTATAAAAGCATCCATGCCGCACATATTTTGCGTTATATTAAAGTCGATATTTGCGTAGAAGTGGATACTTTCACAAAAATTAATTGATGTAGGAAATCGTATGAATAGGTTAGCGCGAATTGGGTATCCTTTGAGGAGATTTCTTGAGTCTCTTCTTATCATGTTATTTAACCTAGGTTCATTTGTCGGTACAGACTTTATGGTTCTGTTATATAAGGGGGCGTTTGTTTCTAATTTGCCATGATAAATAACAAAATAATGAGGGCAGACAAAAGGAAACTCCAATATTACAACGAACATGTGATATTTAAACCACAGTCGGTTAAGAAAATCTTCTTGTGCAGATTTAGCTTTTTCACTGAAAATTCCATTAATACATTTGTATTCATCATCTTCTGTTTTAATAATAATGAATACGTAGGATCGAAGTGAACTAAACAAGAATGAAAGAATAGGGTGCTCAATAATGTCTAAAGATAGTTGGTAAAAAATTAGCACCATATTTGGACTAAAATTTGCGTAATCCAGTTTAATTTCGTTCATTTTGATTTCTGTGATGTTGGCCATAACTACGAGAGATTGGTGTCGGGTACGCTCCATAAGACATAACTCGTAAAGATAATTATCATCATCCGTAGTATCGAATAATATAATCTGCTTTCTGTGAACTATTTTATATAAAGGTGGAGCACAATACACATCGTTGGTGTTAGGTTGAAAGAGCTTTGCTTCTCCTTCATGTAACATCTTACAAATTATCAACAAGAGGAACAAGAACATTATTTAAAAAAAAATGTGGTTTTGATAGAATGGTCGCCACTGGATCGCACTGACTTTTACGAAATAGAACTAACGTCAAAGATTCTCGATTATTTATAAAGCAAGAAAAGATTTGTATCATGTTTGTGAAGTGATGTGACATAGGTTTACGCAAATATAGTTTTGATTTGAAAAGATTTTCAGTATTAGAAGTTATTCAACTAAGCAAGTGTAAGTATACCATGTATGAGTCGGACTCGCTACGAAGGGTTCCGTTGCGTACGAATATAAGTACCAAAAAACTTAGAAAAAGTAATATCATTTATGAACATTTTATTATTTGTCGTTAGTATGACAAAAGAAACATTCTGAAATGATAACTCTGGAGTCCAGTACGAACGAACGTACGAACCAATATCGAATTCGTATCGTTTGCGAGTCCGAAATGTCATTGTCAAATGTGTACTGAATTTTAGTTATCGTTACGTACTTTGTGACGCTGCTGTTCAAGTTTCCATACAAAATTTAACATTGAAATTTCGGTTTGCAAACTATTAGAATTCGATAATGGTTCGTGCTAGGGATACTGAAACTTTATTTACTAACGAAGACAGAAAAACAACACATCAAAAAGGTCCTATTATTTTACTTTGGTCGTGGAGGTTGTTTTCCCTTTTGTAACATATACCTATGTGTGCTAACAAGAGTATTTTTTTTATGTTTTTGATTTGGTAATACTATAAATGTATGATAATGTTTCCAATTACATAACAATTTGACTCCAGAAGTTTAACCCTACTGATTTTCATTTGATTTATTGATATCATCAGCAAACAAATTAAATATATTACGATATTTGATTGCTGTTAGCAAATTCATAAAATGTATTTCTCTGTCAATCAAAGCAGTCACTCTTATCTTATGTTGGATCAAAAACCAAATACTTGGAATTTACACTTGGAAACTTTTGCGTTGCATTATAAATATTGTATTTACTTGGAGTTTCAAAGTTAGTACCTATTAGGAAAATTGTTTTTTGTTATGAAAAGCCTTTCACAATACCCACTTTGTGGTTTAAATAATTTTAGAATTCATTTTCGAAAGTTACTAAATCACAACCAAAACTGTGTAAATGTAATCATAGTGCTTACTTTGAGGCTAGGCTAACTGGTGTGAGTGTTAGAAATATTTATTTATTTATAGTACGCATAAACTAATTGAATTATTAAGGTATCTTTGTGCCATTGTTACACATAATAATAGCAGGATACTAAAGTGGTATACATTATAAATTATCGCAAAGTTGAGTTGTTGACAAGAAGTTTACACAGTCAGACGTTTATTGGTGATTTTTATTAGCATACCTTATTCACTTCTTTATAAAATCATTGTTTCACACTATTTAAAAGCAGTCCTCACTTTGGAAGTGAGAATGGCGAATCTCACCTTATTTTTGATGTTGTTCATTATCTTGAGGATAGTAAACAGTTTGTCGGAAGGATTGTACCTGAATCCAGAATTATTGAAGACAGGTATCGAGATTATTAGAGGGAACGACTACATGGATTATAATCCAGATCATAACAGTAAAATTTTCAGAGATTACGCTATTATAGAAATACAAGAAGATTCAATGATTTCGGTTTAAATAATAACGTTCAGAAAATAACAGAACAGAACATAACAGAAAATGAAATAATATTTCTATACGATTGTATGTTTTATTTTTTTCCCTTTCTAACTGGATATCCTTGTTATTTTTTATTGAAATGAAATCTTTAATTTACCTAGGTAGGTATACTACTTACTTGGGTGCGGGGGCGCGTTGAAGTCCCTCAACGGGGATCTCGCGGTTCCGCACTTATGAGCGTAGAGGGCATTCGTAGGGTTAGCGAATAGTATGCCGTAAGCGCTCGTAAGCCGCGTGGACTGCTTAACGGCTGCTGCTCCGTTTCGCACCCGTGAGACTTACGAGAGGTTAGGTGTGATGTCCGTTCGTTGGTGTGCTCCTTAAGGGCGCCAACGTCTGTAAATAGAGCTTTTGCCTGCGTAATAAAAAATAAGGTATACTACCTTTACCTACATATTACAAGATATGTGGTGAAAATAGGAAAAAATACAATTAATTCTTGGAAAAAACGTGGCTTTCAAGTGAATCTCTTTCAGTTGTTTTTGAACGCTTGGTGGAAATAATATCTCACCAAACATGTTCATGTAAAGTGTTGCCAAGACGAAAACGTATGACTCGCACTCACTGTCAAAAAGTTATCAGATCTCAGTAGAGCCAAGCTTCTAATTCTACACGCCCTAACTTCACAAACCCAACTTTTGAACCCTTTTACCATCAGCCCCTACTTGGCGGTACGAAGTTCGCTGGGTCTGCTTGTAATATAGAGATCTCAGCAGATATTGTATTAAGCCCGTTAATCGCTCTACACATGTTCTGCTGTATACTGGATTTGGATCCTGTTAGGGATTTTTTGTATACTCGTAATTGTATTGTAAAGTTCTCGGCTAAAATGTCTGTGAAGAGTTTTAAAATGTGGGCTATCCAACATTACTTTTTTGGTTTTCGAAAAATATTCCCATACGTTTTCAACGAATTACTCGTGCTATTTTTTTATAGGAGGCGCAACTATTTACCCCACCCCACCTGATGTTAAGTGTCAGTGGAGTCCATTCACGAAGAAATATGATGCGGCAGAAGATGTGCCGCTCCAGTCATCCTCAATTTACCGGCCTGAACACAATCCCCTACCCCACGGAGCCCTGGAACCTTACTCACCAGTAGCATCACAACACCACCAAAAGGTAGTGTTATTTTACTGTGTGGTAAGGCAAGGTGGAGGTTGTCTTAATATAAACATAGAAATTAAAGTAAAAATCTAATCTGTAAGCCCAAAGTATGTTTGATTGAGACGTAAAATCAAGGACTTAGCTACTGGAAGTAGCTACACTTTAACATTGGGTATCGTTATGTTCCCTAATTAACTAGAGCAATAATATTTAGACTGGGTGCACATGTACGGTTTCCTGATCAGTACCCTTAGCACTAACCAATGTCGAATTCGAATAGTTTGCTAGTCCGAAATGTCATTGTCAAATGTGTACTGATTTTTAGTTCTCGTTACGTACTTTGTGGCGCTGCTGTTCAAGTTTTCATAAAAAATTGACATTGACATTTTGCACTAGAAAACTATTCGAATTCGATAATGATTCGTGCTAGGGGTGCAGGAATCCTGATTCGGTTTCCTGATCAGATTCGAAAATCCGCAAGCCTAGTGCAGATGTTTCGATTTTTTTATTAGTAGAGTCGGAACCAAACGTTAGGTTTTATCCATTCTGAAAAATTTGAATAGTGTGCTCCTCGTTGTGTATGTAAGGACATGCATTCAAGTTTTCGAATCGGAATTCCTGATCAAACCGAACCAGGAAAGTAACCAAACATGGAATAGTATCCTAAAACGGAATACCATCATTTCTCCGAAACTAGTACAAAAGAAAGTGATCTTTTGTCTCTTTATATCAATAGATTTGCGTACAGGTTTCGATTTGTCATTCGGGCGACCATTGTGGCTGCAGTGAGAGTTCGTTTGTGAGGTTTTGTTTTGGCGCTGTGAGAAAAGTTTTTAAGGTACGCAAAACTAAGTATTTCTCAAAACGTGATTAGAAATAATATTGTATTATGACTATACATTGATTATATGATATTTTGATTGTTTTAGGGGTCTGATTGTGTTTAGTTAAAAAAGCTGACTACGTTTTAATTACCTAGTTTGAAAGTTTAAAGTAGTGCATATTCGGGTACCTATTCCATAATTAGCTGCCTTTGTGTTGATTTTATTTTTGAGAAAATTCTATATTTTAAATTTAAAGGTATATGTGAGTCAAGACTATCAATAAGTTAAGCGCAACTGTATGACTGGTAATAAATTAGAATAAAACTTTTTGATTTTAATTTCATTTTATTATGTTAAGCAAAATGGTATTCTATATTTGGGTTACTTTCCTCTACACATGCGCCCAGCCTTACAGTATGTCGAATATCTTGTAATTTTCCAATCTAATTACTGCAGCAACTAGTAGAAATCTGCTTTTTAATTGATAAGTTCTTCCATATAGATTAGGAGAGGGTTATGATTGTACAGTGCTGCTGGGTTGACATATTGTTGAAAGCATGAAAGTCGTTACTTTGGGCATTTATTCCTGCTTTACTCGTTTGCTGTGGCATTCCTTTAATTTACTATGGCTATTTTGTAGGTGCCTAACCATTTGAATTTGATTGATAAACTAAATTCTCGTTTCGGCCCTCAAACAATCACTCGGGTGATTGTCTGATTTATGAATATAGTAGCAATTAGTAACAAACTGAAAAAAGAGACTATTTGCTTCACAATAGATTTGAAATTCAAGAGTGTGGTGATGGTAATTCCTAGGTAGTTCATGTAAAATTAAAAGCATGAGGTACGTATTATTAACAGTTTAATTTAAATCCAAAATACAAGTAAGCATAGATGCATCTATAAAATTGAGCATGGGGAACTAAGAAAGAACTATGCACGGCTTATAAAAATAAATTGGTATTCTAATAAACTCCTTAAACAACATTAATAATAATGTAATATTTTTACTTATATTAAAACTAAAATATAACTTATAGTCTAATGTTAGTAGAGATAAAAGCTAACGCTTATCCCAACCACGTGGGCAAGAACTTAATTCTACGGCCGTCGAAACTGGAGAGGCCGCTATCGTATTTAAGGCCATCCAGGTCCGCTAACAGGTCGTTGCTGGGGTTGTCACCTCGCAAGGCTGATCTCTTCGCAATCTTGTGGTCTGCTTCTTTGGCTTCGGGCTCAGACGTAGTCGCATCATCGACCAGTGGTACCACCACCGGAATTGGATCAATCACTTCTACTAGTTCGACCAATGCAACATCTTTGTCGGCATCGGCTGTAGTCACCGATTGCACCGTCGCCGAAGGAACGGGGGACGCGATGGCGATAGCGATAAACGCGAGCGAGAGAAGGACAAACAACGAGGAAGCCATGGTCTTGGTGGGCTTCTTGAAACTTCTCCGCGATAGATGTGTGAGGGAGTGCTCCCAAAAAGTTGTGTTTCACTCTTCCGTCTCTTCCGATTGTGATAACGAGAGACCCTACGGTGTCCTTTTTATACTTGGAGTCCGATGCAGAAGTGCTAAACAATGTACCCAGAAATGGTAGCATTGACGCATTCTGGCTTCCATCGCTAATGCTCTTGTCAAATAATTTTCAATATTGACCATGAATGTGTTTTGTTGTTGTAAGTATTATATATTATTGATAATAGGATGGAACGTCGCTTATAACATTAGTAAACGAAAATGTATAAAAGACGGGTTGTTATTGTACGCA